GCTTTTGAGGTCATCCCACCTCCTTTTGAAGCCTATATAAATGACTCTAGTTATAATGTTAAGCTGCTAGTAAAGGACTAAAAGTATTTCTCTCATAGTGAGGTTACCTTTTTTTGCTTGTAGATTCAAGCACCTTATGTAGATTCAATAATTATATCTTAATCTTGTGGATTCAAGGTCATCTTTTCTTAAGGATTCAAGGGTTGAAGTCTGAGTTCTATGGTATTAAAATTTAGTTTCTTGATCAAAGATAGAGCTTTGCAGATTTAAGACTAAAGATTACTATCTTCCACATTATTATTGCTTCACTTTCTAAATCAACAAGGATTGAAAGATTCGAGGAAGGCTAATGTGATTTAGAGAGTGATGGTGAATAGATTTAATCATATTTAATTTTGAATAATGATTCATAATTTATTTAGTTTAATTTTTCAAGATTAAACATTTCAATTTTGGAGAAAGCAAAAAAAATAGAAATAAATCTTAACTTCTAGATCAATTTTATAATGTTAATAAGCGACCATGTATCAAAATCCTTCCCACTCAACTTTTGTAGTAATGAAAACTCTAATGAGCTTTTAATCTCTCACAAAGTTGTTTAGACAGGCTACTATATTAAAGATGCTCCAAAAGGAAGATTGTTGAGTTTTGAGAACTCAAACATGTTCTCTTGATGTAAAATAATATTTATATAAAATTACTCTAAATCCAAGTTATGAATTTGAAAACATTCATTGTGCGCTTGGGATTAAGCTTTGATTTATTTTTAATTAACAAAAAACTTATTTATCCTAATTTTTTAAAATGAGATTCATATTTGAGAAATCAGAATATATATACTTATTTCCAAGCTGAAATATGTGGAAAATCAACATGTCAAACTGATAGTAAAAATATTCAGTTTTTTTTGTTTATGATTTTTACAAAACTATGAATATCTCTTGCGAGTCTTGGTTTCATTCTTGGCTCATTAAAGTCGAAGGTGTGTTTAAGCATAGTGTATTAGTGCATCAAGTTTCAGACAATAAGAAAGAGCCTAAATGACCTAGAATAGAAAGAACTGTTAAGGCCCATAATGGAAGTGGCCCATGTCAGCATCCTTAAATGCTAGAATGGTCCAAATCATAAGCGATCCGTTTCAGGAGATGTTGAAGAGGTGGTCAAGCGCACGTATAAAGGGACTGTTTCACCCAAAATTAGGCATTGAGAATCAAATGAAAAATTATGGGTAGATAGTTACATCATGATCTTCTTCCTTTGCCTCCTTCCACCATCCCAAAAGATTTATTTCTGAAATCAACTTGATTTCAGATGGCTCATTCTCAAATGGTCCAAATCAACTTTATCCTTGAAGAAAGATCTCAAATGGCTCATTCTTCCTTCATCCTTCCTCAACTCAATCCTTTGACAAGAAAAAATTCCCCATGCTTAGTTGAAGGCAATGGTAAAAATATATTGAGTTACTTTGTTGTGATTATTACTGATTGGTTGAATGTTGAAGCACCCATGATATACTTGCAATGATATTTACCTAGGGCTGTTAGAACTTTGGATTTTTGATAGCCTATACATGCCTATAGAGCTTGAGATGTATGAGAGGTTCTTAATCTATAAAAAATCAGGTGTATTCTAGAGACTAGAATAGTGAAGCCTTGGTTGTGATCTTGAAAGTAGACATGCTAATTGGGTTTGGCCAAAAGATGATAAAACCCACCCCATGTTCCAATTATTTCCCTCTTCTAACTTAGTAGTTAGATTAACTTATAATTATAAAATATCAAATAAAAATATAATAATGAGAATATTTATTTATAAGTTTTAATTAAAAATTATGGATCAATTTAGCCCCCTTTTTGATTTTTTGTACTATTAATGTAGAGACCAACAATCAATAGTAAGAGCATAACTTAGTTAGAGATTATGTAAATCTTAAGGAGTAGCTCATATGCCTACCATTCCAATGAGTTGCTTTCTTGTCTTTATTTTTGATTGGTCAAAAGTGGCTGAAATTTGAGTCACATGTAGCATGTTGAGATTTAAATAGGGTAGTTAGAACTTAGGGCTCTTGTTGGTATTTCTAGGCTCATAGATATTGGGTTGTATGAGAGAGGTTCTTAATCGTTAGAAAATCAGATGTATTGTAAAGACTAAAATAATGGAATCGAGGTTATAATCTTAGAAATGGATATATGACAAATGGGTTTGTCCAAACCACTAGCTAATCATTCCCCAAGTGTTACCATCTTATAATTTACTAATTAGATTAACTTAAGAAAATGATCAAAAAGTAAAATAAAATATTCATAAAAGGAAAACAATATTAATAAATTTAATTAAAAAATAAGAATCAATTCACCCGTTCTCTTTGATTTCTCTTACTAGTAAAGTAGAAACCAGTATCAATCATTGAGCTACCATAATTTTATTTCTAACACTGTACATAGTGTAAGATGTTGTCAACTTTCAGTGTGAATGTACTTTAAAATTTAAGCCTATACTGCCATCAATAGGTAAGATTTCTACAAAAAAGGATTAACAATGAACTCATATAATGTTATTATTTTGATTCCTTGATCAAAGGACCACCTTGATGTGGTCAAAGAAGATGCTTGTTATTGTTTTAGTTGTATGATTCTTTTCTTTGGTGTTTCGGGTAGCTTCAAAACTTGGGGATGACTACCATAAATGTATTAGAGCAGCATGTGGTCTTCTTGTGCTTCTGAGCTGTCAACTAGCTTGTAGACATATGTGGCTAGATAAAAGTTTGAACATTGACACTTTGTCTCCCACTTATCATTCTTTGATGTGGGGCAAAGTCTCCCTTTTATAAAATGAGTTTTGAGGCATCTTACAGATAATTTACAATTATTGGAAATAAACCATTAATTATCACATCAACACAAATTTTAACTTCCGAAAAAAATCATTAATCTTATAAAATCTATATCAAATTTAATTATTTCAATTTCGTGGCATTTTTTCTGCATCATGTTCATTTAATGAGTAAGCACATGGCTATATATTGATCAAATATTGATTTACAAGATTGCAATAATCATGTAAGTCAAAAAAAATGTTTAAGTAATGAATTATTTGTGTGTAATTGTTAGATTTTTTGGTATATTATGTATGGTGGAGTAAACTCAGATTGTCTATTAAATTGTCTAAAAAACTTGAACAATTTCAAATTTGATATTATAATCAATGCTCTAAATATTGTGATATGCATTATTAGCTAGACATTTTGAAATGTGTAGATTAAAACTTTGAATATATAAAAAAGTTAAATTTTATAGAGTTGATCTACTAAAAAATTTAATCCACGATTAATAAATTATTTAGAGATTGTTTAATATAGCTTGATTAAACTTTAAAATCTTGTCGTCAAGAAAACCAAGATTCCAACATGGGTTTTATTGATATTTATCCCTAATCGGTCTTCATGTGGCTCACTTAATTGTTAGATCTTTTCAAACTCAACTATCTAAATTATCTCATATAACCCAGCTGATTAGAATTCTAACTGGCTATCAAGCTGCCATATGAAAAATGGATGGAAACTTTCCAGATTAGACCGAATGCGAGCCAAGTCAAGATATATTTGTTTGATAAGTTTCTCTTGTTTGTTGATCCGATTCATTACAGACCACCCAGTATTTTTCTATTGTGAGTAGGAATCTATTTCTTAAAACATGTGTCTTGGGAGGTTAGGAATTTCTTACACAATTCTAGATTCAGAAAAGCTAGGTTTTTTTGTAGAAAACGCTTTCTCTCGAGGTTAGGAATTCGACGTGGGGTCGAAAATTTTCGGTAAATACCACCTACACTCTGAAACTTTCAAGAAGGCTTGAAACACAATCCCCGTAGCTCCTACCCGGATACCCTCGTGGGGCGTTTGAATGTCCACCTCGGAGACACCTGTCGGCGTTGACCTCAAAGGAAGAAACAACCCTCCTTCAACCAACCACCCTAAGGGAATCGTTTACGCACCCTCTATTTAGCCTCAAGTTGGTTCCTTTAGTCAGTATCTTCAAATACTTAACAATCTCCCACCTGTTCAAGGATCGTCTGTCGGCACGGCTAGTTTACCTGAAACGAGGGTGCGACAGATACATGTTCGAAAGGATAACTTTTTTACTTAACTAAAAATGATGACTTCCCTCACAAAGATACGCAGGTTTTGTTCCGTTACACAGCTTGAAAGCAGAAAGTTTGGTCGACGGGGAGTTTGGATTTGGAGAAATCATAGCCGCATGTTCCCCCCATGTGGGCTCTCAGGAGATGCCAACTGTGCAGGAGCTCGAGTAGACGGAGGGAGTAGACGCGGGAGACCAGCGGTAGCCGGACGAGGTCTGAGGTCGGAGTCCTGTTCTTAATACAGAGAGGTTCAATGGCCGGTGAAGCATTCAGTGCCGTAGAGACCGGGCTTGAGCTGCTTCTGTCACTTATCTCGAACACAGAAACAAAGATGGAGCGAGAGAGAGATGGAGATTCCCACGGTTTCTCCGGTTCCTAATCTAAATATGCCAATACCAAATATATCGTTTGGTTTTAAACTGAGAAAGAACGACAGATAGATCGATTAAAGTAGGGTGAGAGCGAGCGAGCAAGAGAGAGAGAGAGAACAGACGAGCATATAGACAGAAAGACAGACAGATAGACACGATTGTTTCTCCAAACCAAATCTCACTAAGGCGATCCTTTGGTGTGACACGAGAAAGACCATTAGGTTTCTGAACCGATGGCACCAACAACTTCTAAAATATCAGTTGATCAGCTCACAGAGGCACATTTCTAATAACTGTTGACGCTAGCCGTGCTCATCTTCGACGTCTTTGTAGAAGATGAAAAAAATCTTATGCATTTCCCGAGTCACCCGGGAAACCAGAAGGCGAAAGGAAGCAGAAGGAGCACATGCTAAGGCGAAAAGACGAGGTAGAAGGAACACAGGATATGGCGAAAAGGCGAGGTCATACTAGGAACACAGGCTACATGCATCCCTATTTCCTTGTTAACTTCTCACTGCTGCAGGAGAGGGCGCCCCCGCCCTCAGCCATGGGAGAAACAGACGCACCGCCATTGTCGCGCTTCTTCTCCTTGCTCTTGCGAGATTTCCTGCAAGTGTACCTCTCCATCCGATGGCCTTCTTCATCATCCTCTTCTTCTTCGCTGCCCTTCTGGTTGGGAGTGGGAGCCCCACTTAAGGAGCCGTCTTTGTGGGAGAGGCTGCGATGGGGGGGACCAGAAGAGGCATCGGAAGCGAGGGAGTCGGCGTCCTCGCCACCGCCGGAGGCACCGCCATGATCGCCGTAGTCGTCTTCGCTTGTCTCCCCCTCGTCCTCTATTTGGGCTTGGCCATGCATGGGAGAGGCGAGGTACATGGTCCACCCCGACTCACTGCTACTACATTCTTCTGCGCCTCCAACCAGCTGGGAAGAATCCATTACTGTGGGAAAAGGGAGAAGGTGGGAGAGCCTCAGATGAAAGAAAACTACCAATCTGAGAGATTAAGTGGCCCAGTAGAGATTAGATATAGAAAGTATAAGATAGAGGTCGATCGACAGATAGATGCAGAGAAGAGAGAGAGAGAGAGAGAGAGAGAGAGAAGAGGAGGAGAGAAGGTGAGGGGCAGAGTTATGAAAACATTACACTTGAATTCTCACAGGCTGATGAGAAGATCCTCGCGTTTATTTCTCTGACACACCTCATCTAGAAAGATCAGCCCTTCACGAAGAAGAAGGAAAAGATAAAATGAAACCCTAAGAGGAACCTGGACAAGAATTCAAGAAAGCACGCCAAGCCCACATCATTAAATGGCGAGAGTAAGTATACTACTACCTGAAAACTCGAACATCTTTGAATCTTCTGACAGGTCATCTACACGAAGCAGCTTTTACTGCAGAAGCCAGGCGAGAGGGGGAAAGAGGAAGGAGGGAGAAGAAGAAGAAGAATAATAGAAAGAGCCTCTCCGAGCTCTTAAATCAGAGGAACTGGCATCTCTTTAATTCCATTTCACTCACTACACAAATCTTTTAATTCCTCTGCGTTGTCAACATGTCAAAAGGCTAGGCCTTTTTAAAGCGGCAAGTGGAGGTCGCCATCTGGGTTTTCCATGGTTTTGTTCTCAAAAGATCTCCATTCCCCATTGTTATCCTCCCCCGGTCTTCATCTGCTGGAGGAATGCGAGAGCTCTCTCATTCATATCTTCTTAACAATAAAAGAGGGCATAATAACGTAGCGAGAGAGAGGGTGATGGTTTCCAAAGTCCCATGAGATCGACAGCCTGCTGCAGCCTACTGGTGCGGTCTCCTCTTTTTCTCCCTAATCATCATATTATCATACGCAACGTCTATTACCGCACAGTTGGTAGACTTCTCTCGCCATATTTTAAGCCCCCGCCCTGTGTTGTTTTCTCACATGGGAGAAGAATAATAAATGGGTCACCTTCCTCTGGTCTTTTGACTTATATATATATATGTATATATATATCAAGCCACTACGCGTGACCTTTCAATCTAGGCTGTCCTGTCGAAGGCAAAGGCCTCCGGAATGAACCCAGTACCGCCCAAAACCTCCAAACACATGAGAGAGAGCCTTCTATCTATTAACATGGTCATGGCTAGACAAAATAACTTTGCTTGATATGGAATTCCTTTCCTCAGAGAGATGAGGCAGAGAGAACAGAATGTTCCTCTCGTCAGAGAACTCCACGGCCCTCCTTCCTTCCGCTTGTGTCTCTCGCAGCTCTTCCCCACTACAGGAGCAACAATCAACAGGTGGAGCTCTCACGCATGGGGCTGAAGGGGTCCCACACCGCACGTGGAGCTTGGGCCGGCGTGGAGCATCCGTGCCCAATTAATTTGGCGTGGTCGCCCTCTCCAGCTGTGTGGAGACCATGCCAGCTCATTTCTAGGGCGACCCAATTAAGTCCTCGTGCACAAGAGGACACATTAGGTCCCAGAGCTCTTCTCTCTCGCTCTCCCTCTCTCTCCTCCTTTAAAGAGACGGGAGGGTTGATGGGTTCGTCGCTGTTGCACTGGCAGTGTATGGCATTGGGTGAGGGGAAGGGGCGAAGCCGTACCGATGCCATTATTGTGGCAGAGAGCTGGAGCCTATCTTCTGGGCTCGCCTTCTCTCCCTCATGTGGAGAATGTACTTAGTTGGTGTCAAGTCCCTCTCGTTGCCTTCTCTTCTCCTGTTCCAAGCGTCTTCTTCCGGCAGTGATGGAGACTGCAATCGCCGGGAAAACCCATCTGCCGCTGTAGCTCGTGGAGCTCTCGTCGCAGTTAATGGAGGCGACTTATTCCTACCTCCCTCGTCTCACCACATCCACTGGGCAAGCTCGGGACTCCGCGGCTGGGGTTTCTCGTAGCCGCCTTTCACTGGTCACCTCCACGAGGAAAGAATGAATGACTGCACATCGCTCGAGCTTCGCAAAATGAATGCACATCAACTCATCAGGAGGTTGTGTCGGAAAGGAGTCAAGGTATTCCACAGAAAAAAGCTTTTTATTTTACCGGGATTAATGAAACACCCTATCTTTTCCAAGATTACGAGGAAATGACGCGATAGAAATCAACCCATTTTTGGTGTACATGGAAGTGATTCCAAATCCAACTATTCTTATTCAATAATTTCCGCGTCTTACGAAGGAATTAGTTTCCGTTATGCTGCCTGATTCTAGCCGTCTGATTAGGCAAATTAGAGTGGGCCTCAACTTCTCATTTCGATCCCAAGATTTCATGGTACAATTCAAATGTATATCATATTAGCGGATTTGTGTTTAAAACAGCTAACGGTTAGTTACCCTAAGCCTCGTTCCTTCTACCTCAGACTAATTAAAGCATGGTAGCATCTGTCCCTTGGCCATCATTTGGCATACGGATTGGGAGCCAGAGTAAGAGTAGTACGGCATATGGACAGGACGGGCGACAAGAACTTGGACAGGTATATAGCACACCATGGTCGGAGCATCTGAGTATTTCTAGTCGGCACTACACTGCTGTAACTTAATAGATAGCTATGATGATTCCGGCGCTGTCTTTCGACTGTAATTAGGATTGGTACTAAAAACATCAACCAACGATGGGCTGAGTCCTGAATAAAAATTAACAGTGTTGTTCCATTTTTTCGGTTGTAAGACGCCTGATTATTTCAACTTCACCAAGTTTTCTGTTCTAGTCAATTGATGAGCACGAACCGGTTGCTTCCAAACCACAAGAAGATGGTCGAGAGATTGGATGTCCTAGAGAAATACAAATATTCTAACTCGTGAAGAAGTAAGTAGTGAGATGAGATGTGCCGAGTGTTTTACTCGTAACCTATGTGTTTTTGTAGAAAACTCACATTTACAATAAAAACGTCAACGCAAAATGTGCCGAGTTCCATTTACTCTCTCGATATATGAGATGCATGGTGAATTGAAAAAAAAAATTCGATACTTTCAATGAGGATAAAGCAACCTTCTAGAAAACTGGGGCTACTCCCACCACCAGGACGTATCTCCACACAACATAAACTCCCCCAAATGACCAGTAAATAAAATGAACCACAAGGAGAACATCAACCACCAAAAACAATAATATAAAGCAAGCAAACGTGACTATTTCAGTGCACACCCCAGTTATTGATAAACATAAATCATCGAACACTTCTGTCCCCCTATTTAACAACACAGCTCATAACTTATAAACTCTAAGAAATATAATTTGACACTATTTTAATTTTTGAGAAGGATGAGAAGCAAGTAAAATTTAATCCTTCGAGTTAAAACAACTTAACTCATTAAATGAACAACAAAATTTTTGAAACGAAAACTAAGACATTAAAAATCCTTAAATTGTTTCCTCATGGACTCTCTCTCTCTCTCTCTCTCTCTCTCTCTCTCTCTCTCTCTCTCTCTCCAATTGACTGCAAATACAGACCTCCCAAGGAGGCCCCATGCCACCATTCTAAATTTTATCAAGTAATTTTAGAAAATTATATTTCTACAAGGGTCATAATGAACCCAACTCTTTTCAAAATATTTTCCTATGTTTCATTTTTAGGAAAACCTTTCATGAGTCATTCATTTGGTTTTCATTGAACTTTACTAGTGATTGAATCACAACCTTGCATCAGCATAAAGGGAGAATCAATTCCTGATGATGTAGAATCATGAAAATTTATTAATGATTGTGTAGCTGCATATGATTAGTATACTAATACTTTTCGTTTGTAGGTAATATTTATTTTTGTCATAAGTTAGCAACTATATAGCATAATATTCATATCATAATGATGCAAAGTAAAAGGTTAGGTTCTGACAATGTAGAGAATTCTACAAAGGGATGGTTTCAAAATCAATAAAGCATGCATATTTGATTATATTTTTGTGCATAATTAGTTAGGTTGAAACTTGCTTTGTAGCCAAAAGTTACACTCATACCTATGTTGTTATGCTACTTTGAGTTTCTTACTTGTTACTCGACTTAAACTCAATTAATCTATTTATATCTATGTTTTTCGTATCATAATTGTCTGATTAATTGATTTAGTGGTGTTGTTATGCCTACATCTCAATCAATCAAAAAAAGAATTAAGATTAAAAGTTGAAGTGTTGATTCACGTAAAACCAAGTAAAATAGATGAGTTAGGTCGTCTCCTCAGAGAATTGTGAATTGAGTTCTATTTAATTGTTGATTAAATTTGAAAGAGATGAATAAGAGGTCATGAGGAAGGAGAAATTAGGGATAGAAGGATGAGAATGATGATTGATGAGATTTGTTGATGAGTGAATGAGATCACATGATCAAGAGAATTGCGTGATTAAGTCTAACACTAACTAAGATCTAATACTTATCTAATAACATCTACATCACGAGTTACCTTGAAACCAAGTTGGTTGTCACCACATCTCCATTCTTATTTCCACTAGGAGGAGGCGATCACTATAAGCCATAGGAGTGAATCTCATTCATAGGAGGAGCTCAATAATTGACAGATGAACATACATGTGGATCATGAGATGTGGAGCTTTGGACCCTTCGAACCCCTTTGGGATGGTGATAGCTTAAAGTTCTACTAAGATTAGTTGTCTGCTAAATATTTGATATTCTATATGCATAGGGTGGTGCCCCTCTTTCTCTCTCTCTCTCATGAAAAAGAATAGCCCTTAAATCAATGACTGTGCCTCTCCCATTCCTACATGATTACCCCTTAGTTAGATCTTTTCATCACTATGTTGAATTCTCATCCCTTTGATTAGGTCTTGACATAATCATCTCCTCCGTTAGGACTTCCTTCAAGTCTTCTCGTGTACATTTTGATAAGTAAGCATATCTACCGTTGGATCAATGCTCCATTTGTATTGAGTAGATGGTGGTTTTTCTCTTCATTTTTGGTTCACGTCCCTTAGTTGATTATGGGCCTTAAGTCCATAACCTTTTACTTGAGCCCACTTCGTCCTTAAGTGCCTTAAGTGGTTATGAGCCTTAAGCCCATAATTTTCTACTCAAGGCCCAAGTGCGACCTTGGTTCCTTGAAAAGCTGTGAACCAATGCTTGACATCTAAAGCTCACATTGTTATATAATGCATTATTCATGCATTATCACAATCCTTTCTTCAATTGGATATCAAAAATTCTTTTGATAATAAGTTTGTGTATATGGTGCAACGTCTTACATTTAATTTATGTGGAAAGAAATTAAATGCATATTGACCTCAAGAAAATGTAAAAACCTTTTTCTAATGCTAATCATACATTGCTAAGGATGTCACTAGAATTACAAAACAGTATATTGTACCTTTGTTGAAAATCATCTAGTGTCTTAGTGTGGATACCTTATACTTGGCTAGTGTTAAGAGCTAAAATTCATCTATAGATCTTGAAAGAATAAAAACAAAAACTAGCCTAAAGAATCACATTTATCTCTAGTGCAGCCTCAAACTAAAGTTGTAAATTCCATGCATAGGGTAAAGACTTGATGAGGAAAAAATCACAAGAAAAATAAGTTGATTTCGAAAATATTAAGTACAAGTTCTCACATCCTTTCCTCTAATAATTTGATTCGTTGCTCCACATGATTAGTACTTTTGTTGAATTTCTCAACAAAAGATAAAAGATCAATGAAGGTAAGAGCACATGCAATAGAAGAGGTAATGTGGTAGACGGGTGATAGATCTCTTGGTCATCATGTGAGATACAATGCTGGCATAGGAGCGTGAATTTTTTGATGATATCTTAGGGGTAATTACTAACTGATTCTTCTTGGATCAGATCTATGTGAAAATATTTGAGGATATGTGTGATGATAATACCTAGTGGGACAACTCAATCATATACTATGGTAGTTTCCATTTAATCTAAAAAAAACATTAAAATTGATGACAATACCTTATAAGATGTAATAAAGTAAGGATGTGATTTTTTTCTGAAATTCTATCATGTGCACACTCTTGTGAAATAGTAAATGGGGGTGATAATGAAATGCACTAGTTTATATGACAAGAGAAGGTGGGAGATTTGATACTATGCACATTTGTATTTAACATCTCAGACAAAAAGGCAAGAAATGTGCTGATCATTAACCTATCAATGGCTAATTTAAGGCCTAAGGAGATTTGAAGGATTTAGTCAATGTCTATGTAGTAAGATCAATAGGCTTCCCTTTCAGAAAGGCATAAATACATAGGTCTCGATAGAGTTATTGTAAAATATTTTGACAAGATCAGGGTAGATATCAAGGTGTTTGGAAATAATGTGTGATTCTGAGACCATCAAAATATATGTTCAGACTAAGTTTTTCTGTATAAAATAAGGTGAAATTAATGAGTTTACACTTACATATTTTTTGATCCTTAAATGTTGTCTCAAAATTGATTTTAAATTCTAGAGAGAAGTTTTGAATAAATTTTCATAGATTTTAAATTCTATTACATATTTTTCAATAGCAGCACCAGAACTACATAAAAGTTAATTGAGGATATTGAAATATAAATCAAGTCTCCATACTCATGTGTTGAAACCTTCTATCTTACACTTGACAAAAGATGCTAATAGAATTCATGTTGTACAATGGTATCTAGAGCATCTTCCTCTTAGATTTAATAAGGTAAAAAGTCTTAAATTGAACAACGAGTTGAGATATATCTAATCAGGAGTTTTATTTGTCTTCTTAGTTTTCCCTTATATATGGGAAATGACTTATAACAATAGGGTAGCCATCTCATGCTCTCATGCTTCACCATCCTCCTATGAGCTCTCAAAAGTTCTTCAAGGATGGCACGTGATTAAAAAATATTTTTCTTATTTGGGTGGGTGTTTCACCATCCTCCTAGAACACAATTGATTGTTGACATCACATCCAATGTCTTTGCTCTTTCTCATTATCTATTTGGACAATTATCTACAAAAACTCTCACTCTTTGGTCCACTCTCAATTTCCTCACTTTTTTGTTGTGAAAACTATTGATTGATTATTTTTTTTCTTCACCTTGGCCAAAGGTATTTGTGGATTCTAGTTTTATCATTGCATGACACATCATATATAAATTCATTTGTTTTGATCTGAGGCATTTTCTATCATTTGATGAGTGAAAATTATTCATGTATGTGCTATGTGGTCTAACACATCTTCAAATTAGACATTCTTCCTGTAACAGTTTTTGGGTTGGACCAACTTGATGATAGTTTGGTGTATTCATTTATCCTAGTAACAATGTAGAGATGTATTTTTTCCTCTAGGAAAATCACCTCATTCACATAGTTGGAAAGTTAATCCATGACCATCAACTTATCCAAATCCTTCAACATCCTAATGTAAATTATGTCATGTAGTCAGTAAATAAATGATCAAAGGTATCCTTTTATTCTTCTCTTTTTCTATAAATAAATAAATCAAATGGCTTTGTTGCTACAGCAAATCAAAGCATTATCTACTTATACTTTTTTTATTAATTCTTCATCCAGAAAAAACATAATCACAATATCTTAAAAGAGTTAAATCTTAATTTTTGGAAATACTATATACTTAAGGCTTATGCTCTAATTAAGTATCTAATAATTTTTCTAATAGTCATGAGGTATGATTCCTTTATATAACTTTGGTATTTTGCACACATCCATACATTAAAAAAATATAAGGTTGTCTACTAGTTATATACAATAACATAACCTGCATTGAGGGATGACCTTTTAGCACTTTCTCACTAAAAGCTTAAATATTTTTATATTTATTCACCCCTTGTCCAACTACTTCTAATATCAAAGGAAGCTTGATTCCAATCTTCACATATTCTCCTCAAGAATATACATCAATATTCATGGTATCAACAACCAAAATAACTCAAGTGCATTTCTTTAGACACCAAGCCCCTCTTGAGTCAAATATAATTACCATCTCCTTGTGCCTTCAGCCAATATATTATCACCTCACCACCTAGTTATCTTAAACACTGATGGAGAGAAAAGGTCATGATGGTTGATTTGATCATTTGTCTAAATTACCTGATGAAGACAATGCAATGTTCTCCATAATCATTGATGCATGTGAGGCAAAGAGCTTAATGTTGTTGAGCTTTGAACCTCTATGTTTAATTAGTTTTTGATATAGAATACTTCTCTTATAAGTAGGCCTTAATTTTGCATTTTCTTCTTTATTTTATTGAATCTCTAATGTTGAAATTCCTCGTTCAAGAATTAATTATTTTTTGAAATGCACTGTAACGAAGTTCAAACCTTCCAAACTTTGAATCTCCTTATTCTCACAACCTTTTCTGCTCAAATCTAAATTAAAATTTCCTAACTTATGCAGAAAAGTTGAGCTCCACACCAGATCTAGATCATTGAGTTTTCCTTCTATTTTGATCCATATGAGCATTTGTTGTGTCATTGTTGAGATGTTTTGCTCAAAGCTTTAATTCCTTATTCATTTTTTATTTTCTCGCTAACTTAAAGTATGTAATATCTTAAGTAATATGACTACCATATTATGAAATACTAGAAACTACATAATATGGTTATATAATCATATAATCATATAATCATATAATCATACATAAAATATTTTTTGCATGATTCATGTTGACTTTTATCTTATAATTGTATACTTAAAACCTTTTATTTCTAGATATGTTTTCTACTTATAAATATTTATCTTCAATAATCCTATGATAGAAAGACACTTAATCTTATATATTAACATCTTGCATTTAATTGTTATTAATCAGATCATAGAATTATTTAATTGGTATACTAACTTCATTGAATGTATTAAATATTTTAAATGTATGAGTGAACACATAGAGGAGTATCAATATTAAATAATTATTTATAAAAAAAATCACATGTAATTATCAAACCAAGGAAATCAACAACGAAGACTTTGGGAAACTAAGTTTTTATGATGATGACAGCAAACATGGAAGGATTTTTAGTAATTCATAATAGTAAAATTATAAATTTTGATAATCAATAAGGTTTAAGAAGAATAGAGTAAAACGTCTAGAATGATACTATGTTAATATTTGTATTTAGAGTATATTTGCACTCGAGGAAAATCTACAATCTTAATCTAGAGGAGATTAGCATATTTGTATCTTCTATTTTCCCCCATAGAGTTATGAATTTAGAAGATAGGAGTAGGTCTCATCTAACTTGGGCTACTAGAGTTGTGAATCTAAAATATGATTTATGGTGGAATCCTAAGTTAGTTGAAGTTATTAAATCTAGTGTCAATATTGGTTAAGTTAGTGATTTAATTTTCATTTCATTAAGGATTTTTTGGAATTGAGGAAAGTGGTATTGTATGTGGTACTTGGAGAGCATAGTAGATCTAGTGACCGAGCCACTATAAAAAATAGTGTGTGAAATATATCTCTCACATTTAGGCCCTAAGAACAAAGCAGGACCAGAAATAAAAAAAGAAACAAAAAAATATATGATTTTGCCAATTCACCTCCCCTTTTTAGTGAAGTGCTGCCATATGGAATACAATAAAGTATGGTGTGAGAAGGGTAATATTCTAAATTCTTTTATTTTTCAAATATTTTAAAAATGATTTCTCTTTAAAAACATATTTTATTCTCCCTTGACAGTTAGTAGAGGGTGGAGATATGTTTTAAGATCTTTCAAGAAGTTTTCTAGAGATTAATCATTTTGAAAAATATTTCATATTATATCAGCTCTCATGTATCAATGTTAATTTTTCTTTAATTTAATTATATGTTTAAATATATAAATATTTTAGGCATTTGGAGTTTCATATTCATTGCATGTATTTTTGTGGCATGTGAGATGGCACTATACTCATACATCGTAGATAGATCTTAGAGGAGAAGTGAAGTGATTAATGGTGTCCATTTATGGGAAAAAATTGTTTTCACACTCATTGTGTTGCGTTTATTCTGCCATTTGCACAAGGTGTGGTGTAGCGAATTTTTCTTGAGTTTATTCATATTTTTTCAATCACTAATCAGAAAGTCATTTGATTTTCTGTATTTTATACAATAATATTTCAAAGAATATGAAGTTTTATTTGAAATTAATTTTACTCAATCTTTTTAATCATACATCATTTTCATGAATCACTAGCATAATTCCATAGACGCCTTTCATGACTTTGAGTCTTCCCTTGTTATGTCTTATGAGTTCTTGGTGGAATCATTTAATGCATAAACAACTTTATTCAAGAAAACAACTAAAGCATGGTGAAGTAGTGTGAATTCTTGATAATGAAAGAAGCTACAGCACAACATATCACAAAATTCATATCCTTTACAAACTTTATACCATTTTTTTAATATGAACATAGTTATAGACTGTTTAGATTGTTTAGATTGTAAGAGATCAAGTCCTTCATGAAATATTTGATCTAGATCAGTTTCTAGAGAACTCCATGTTGAACATGAAGATTATGCTTCTTATAGTAAAGGTAGAAGACTAAATTCTAAATATCTTTTAAAACATAAATAATAGTAACTTTCCTTCCCTACTTTATGTAAAAAGGTGTAATGACCAACTTGTGAGAAAGTAATAAATTCATTGAGGAATTGGTTTAGCCTGGCCAATTATCCTTGTGATAGGTCAGGTTGGAATTCCCTTCATATAATCTCCAAAAAAGGAGAAGTGTCGAAATTATGACATATATTATTACTAGTCTTTCCTTAGATTGTGACTTGGCCTTACCTCTTGTTATGGGCCAAACCTAACAATTACAAGATATTGGGGTGCATGTTAAAGACCAATAAACTCATGCAAAGTCTGTGTTCACTCTCTCTCTCTCTCCATGAAGATAGTACAAATCATAAAAGATAAAGAGTTTTTCTACAGTCATGTCGTGTTGCAATGAGGGATGATCAACAACTCTTTGAATTTATTTGAAACTTCCTGTCAATAAGTTACCCCAATAGAATCACTTTTTTGTTCATTTACTATGGATTATTTATTTTCATCTGCATTTAATAGGATTAGAGCTGTTGTATAATACCTAGAAAAGTGAAATGATCCATTCATCAATTTTAGATGTTCATACTAGTTAAATATTGTAGTTTAATGCATGTAAAAATATGAAAAGGTAATAATATAATTGGATATTACTATCTTGGATATTCTTTCTATAGAATGCTACGTGGGTGATTAATAAACCCATTCATCAATCACATCATAAGAAAATTATCCATGTAATAATAACCTAGAACCAAGCTGCCCATGATCCCATACATATTGCATTATCATGATGATGATTAAAGTCCTTTATCACTATTATGTCTTTAATCTGGTACACAATTGGGTCTTGCCCATATATTAAATGGGTTAGTGGGGTGTCTATTTTAGTCCAAAATTTTTATTCACGCCAGTACCATATTGATTCCTAGGAAAGCACTTACCTCCACATAATGCTCCTCATGGAGTCCCACATCTCATTCAGTCCAGAGACAGCTCTCCACTCACTAATGGTTTCCCAACTCACAACTTCCACTGGCTGGTGGTGGGTAGTTTGTAGGGGGGATATGCCTTGGTGTTGTCATCTCACGTTTCCTTTACCACAACCGACACATTTAACAATATGAGGATGATGAATGGCTCAGTGAACCTTTCTTCTCCGTTCCTACCCACTCTCTCTCTCTCTCTCTCCCTCTCTCTCTCTCTCTTAGTGTCGCACCAGGATGCTTCCTATTCTCCTTTCTCCCGCTTTGAATCTGTTATGTGATGTGAACCGTAGACACATTTTTGTCCTAATACATTCTGACGTTGGAGATCTACTCGTTGGATTGCATCAACCCTTGAGGTGGGTGCCACTTGTCAGAGAGAAAAAAAGAACGGAGGCCACTTGCGGCGAAACTCGTTACCGTTAGTGCACCTCGCACCCCCCAACTGGGGACAGATGACGTGGAACACGGGCTTAGTGGGTGTTGGGACGGCCGTTATAGGACTTGACGCCGTCAGCGCACTCTCTTGACAAGCCACCAGTGCGACGGCTTTTTAGTGGTCTCCCCCGAGCCGCCGCGTTGGGTGATGTTGTAGGGTCCACACCGGCCATTTTTAATACGCCTGAAGAAAGGTAAATGGAGAACTAAAGGTAAATATTTGACAATACTCTATAAAGCACGTGTATAAATCAAGAAAATTATTTAGTTTTTTAAAAAAATAAGTATAAATTACTAAAATTGTAGCTCATTTAAATACTCTACACAATTGAATCTCGGATATAAATAAAAGAGAATATTCTTTTAGAAACAATAATCTTAGAAATAATGTAGAAGATAGGAGATAATTAAAAGTTGGTGCAAGGAAAGCCAAAGATTCGAGGTCAAAGCCATACTAGTGGGACCCTAAATACAATTTTCTATAATCCATACTTAAATGAGCATTTTATTACATAATTTTATTAATTCTTTGAGAAATAACATCATTTCATCCAGTTAGCATAAAATAGGGCCCTGGCCAAGTATCGGTCTAACTATGTTCATCTCTCTCTCTCTCTCTCTCTCTCTCTCTCTCTCTCTCTCGCTCTCTTGCCTGATCGCTACTTTATGTTAGGAATAGGAAGGACAATTGGGCATATCTAGGTGGCCAGGCCAAGGCTTCAAAAGTATGGGCTTAGAACCCATTTTCTTGTGCTTTTTTCCCGTCTAAATTTTGTCCATGCAAAGGACACGTGGGCTTCAATGGAGTTTGCCAATATTTGGTCTCGTTTGGAAATAACTTTATCGTTAGAGAATCTCGTAGTTAGCACAATGCTAGTTTTTTTCAAGGGTATAATGAAATTGTTACATTTTCCAGATCAAGAGCTATTTGACTTTTACGTTATTTTTTCACTTTAAAAAACGAATTATTTTATATTATTGATATTAATTATATTTATTTTTGTACATTTTAGATTCTTCTCAAATTGCTGGAAAATCCTCCAAAACAAAACATGTGTTAAAGTTTAACCCCTGTTTGCGTGAGTGTGTGTGTGTGTCTGTGTGTGTGTTGGGGAGAGAGAGAGAGAGAGAGAGAGAGAGAGACGGAGTTGACAAAACCGCGTAGTAGTTATAAATTAGGAGAGAATAAGGAAGATTGTGATTATGGGTAGAAAAACCAGGTCAGACTGGGGCGGTTCAGAAATCACCAGGACCATCAACAGCCATCGTTATTATTTTCTTCAAAAAGTAGCATGAAAATTAACCAAGAACATCTATATATGATGAAACCGCAGCCGCGGTGGCGAATCCCTTCTCCTCAGAGCTCGGAAGAAGACCACAGAAATTTCTTCCGCCAGCGTCGCCGACGAGCCCCAGAGAGGTCGGCGGAGCGCCACCATACTGATGAACAAGTACACTTCTGGTTCTTCTTCAAGCTCAATGAAGATTACAAATGATCGCCGGAATCGCAGGAAGGAGAGCGTGGAGGATGAAAAGGAGAGGAGGGATGTCGTGGAGAAGGGAAGACGGGCTCCTCTCAGCTCAAATCGGAGGTGCCGGGTTCTTCAAGGGGATGACTTTCGCCAGGAAGCTGGGAACGGCGTCGCCGGCCATGATGACCAAAACCCTTGGCTCAGCGTCGAGCGGCGGCGGCGATGGCTTCTCCTCGGCGGCGGTGCCCCTGCGGCCGGCGACGACTGAGGAGGACTTGCGGTTGCAGCACACGAGAATGATCAGCGCCACAGCTATGAGGCCCATCGCAGCGGCCAGACCGCCGAAGAGGTAAGGAAGCGGCGAGCTCCACCGCAAGAAGCTGCCGCCGGCGGCGCCCGTTGGGGCCACAGAGAGGCTTCCAATTCCCGGCCTCATTCTCTCTCTCTCTCTCTCTCTCTCTCTCTCTCTCCCTCTCTCTCTCTCTCTCTCTCTCTCTCTCGCTAGATCTCTGGATTTGTCTAAAGCGCACTGAGCTTTCTTCCTAGGGGCGCTGGGGAAGACGAGGTGGCGGCTATATACGTAGAAGAGAACGAGACGCGGCGACGCGGCGGCGGAGTTGTCGGGGGGCGCGTCGTTTCTGGTGTTCCCGAGGTGCGGGTCGAGGTAGATTACTCCGCGCATCTCAGTGGCCCACGCCATATCCGTCGTCAGGGGATTCCCTTGAAGGGCGCCCGCCGAGTGGACGTCCCGGCCGAGTCGGCGGACCGGATCGAACGAGTCAGGCTTTCTGTAGCCCCCCCTAGTTTTGGCTTGCACCAGCGATCTAATCAGTTCCTAAATCCCCTGAACTTTTTGGTGGGGCGGGTCATTTCGTGCTTCAGACGACTGTCAAACCTTCTAAAATGAGACAATATATGAGGAGGAGAGAGATTGAAATCCCTGATATTAGAGGTAAACATGAGCTATCATCTAGAGAGAGAAGACACCTTTCGAGGAGAGAGAATGAAACCACGACGTTCAAGCGTGTCAATGGGCCCGATTAGTCAGAACTGTCTTTTAGAGAGAGAAAACTTCTTCAGCTAAGAGAGACTGAAACCATTGTCATTGGATGTGCCAATCAGCCTCATAAACCCAAACTCCCTTCTAGATGTGCCAATCAGTGAGAAGATATATTTTAAGGAGAGAGGATGAAACTAGAAGTCTTAGGGGTGGGTGCCAATAGTCTTGATCAATGCAGATTGTCATGTAGTGTGAGAAGATATCTTCTCACGAGTCTTAACAACCACGGAATGCCCACTAAGATGTGTTACCACAAGGAGATTAGTCTAAGCTTGCTTTGCTCACTCCACCCATGTCAACATTGGTTGTCCTTGGTGACACTAAAAGCCTATGTGATACTAGTTTTTCCACAACCTCCTCATACCATGCCACATCGCCTGATCCCATTGACAATGCCACATCTATTGGTTTCGCTTTGGTTGAACACAAGTAATCATGATTGACACATAAGAGTTTGTAGCAGTTCAATCAATTAGACCTATTCCACTCTCTAAGGACAAAATCCTTATGTTCTTCTAAGTTACGATTGAAAAACATTAAGTCTTCACTTTAATGTACAAACCTCAATGAGCCTATGTGCTACATTATATGACTCCAGCAACAAAATAGTAAATAAATAGGACTTAGTGAGCCTATGTGCTGAAAGATGAGGTATCATTCACCTTGAAATAATGTTAAGAATGATGAATAATATTAACAAATCGTCCTATGACTTATTTAGCTTGAAAAAGCATTCTCTTGAATGAAGGGAGCCTCAAATGCATCATTGAGTTGTTGAATGGTTTGAGCCCATCTGATCTTCTTGCTCTTTGGGTACCAAGGATAAAAAACTTCTCTTGACTCTTTGAAAGAAGAAGGTGATGGCATGAGAAGCTCTCTCTTGAATTTTCTTGTCTTTTTCGCTGAACCATCAATCTATGTGAAAGCCCTTTTTATACTCAAACTTAATGGGCCACAGTGGTCATCACAACAGCTAGTTGAGTAATTTTATTGGGCCACACTGGCACCAAAAATTCAAACAGAAAGTATGTTTGTGAATCTTGTAAAACTCACAACAATCCAAAATCTCTAAACTGTAATGCATTATTTATTGCGTTGTGCTCCTCTTGAAGTTAGATTTCCAATGTATTGTGTCCATTTCTATAGAAAAACCTAGCAATTAGAAATCATTTTAATCATATGGATTACAAATAGGAATCATTTTCCCTTGGATGACTTTCACTTGGTTTAACTACCTGATTTTATTTATGAAAGTTCACACTTTAAGCATAATAAGAAATTATTATCTAGAGAGTATCGCATTGTCTTTTGTCAACATCACAACCTTTGAGGCTCTCAAAGTCAACAATATCATGGGATTGGCGTGATGCACATGGAGTGGAGAAATTCACCAGGTAGAGCTAGGTTCAAGAAATCTCTCAGAACTTGATTCCTCTATGCAAGGGATGTCACACATGTCTATCATCCCCTCATTCTCAGTGAGGTTGCCCCTTTTGAAAAATATCCTGAGGAGATGTGTGGTTCGTCGGGTTCTCGTGCTGCATGTGTGAACCTCGTGCTGTGGTTAACGTGGGGAATCAGTTCTATCTTAAAGCCCTTGCTCCTATCACATCTAATACAAATGACGAACTCTTCGTGCCATTTGGGAGGAGAGAGAGAGAGAGAGAGGACCGAATTAGATCGAAGTTCCTTGTAGATGATTGACGGGTCATCCGAGTCGCAGGGATGAAATCCAAAGCCGGGCTTCTCCAAATGAAGTCATCGGCGAGTCCGGCGGTAAAGGACGGAGCCGCGGATTCCACCTATCTGGCGTGGAATTCTGGGGCTCCTCGAAGGCCCGGGGTTGATGTTCCTCTCTCTGTAAGTCCTCGGGGGAGGGGGAAGGCATCTGTGCCCTGCGGGCCGATGGGTTTTCCCCCCCAGCGAGCAAATAAGTCGAGGATTTCTAGGCGCCCATGTAGTTCCTCCACTCGGAGGGAGCTTCTCTCATCGTCTTCTTGTCGTCCCTTCAGCAGGACCCTCACCGTATACTGCTAACAAATAGACAAGAGAGCGAGCGAGTGAGTTAGTGACTGAGAGAGAGAGCCTCTCTAAGTACGTACCGTGAAAGTTAATGAGAGAAATAAGGTGGCTTGAATAACGCTAAATAACCGTCCCCAATCTGGCTCGTGATAAACCTAATCTAGGTTGCTTACAGTCCTACAAGTTGACTTGCATAACTTCTTGCTCTCTCTAGCGCACATTTGCGGAGAGGGGGGCTCCCTCTCTCTCTCACACACACAGATACCCTATACGGCCCACGTCATCTATACCTGTCTATCTTTTTCTCTCTCATAAAGCATCTTTGGCCAAGGCCACGCATACCCTTCCTCTCTCTCCCTTAAAGTTTCTACGGCTCAGGTCACATATTCTCTGCGCGTCTGTCTCTGCTCTCGCTTAAAGCTTTTTCGGGAAGTTGACATACACAGGACATGCTCCCGGCAAGTTTTAATGCTCTCTCTCTCTCTCTCTCTCTCTCTCTCTCTCTCTCTCTCTCATTTCAGTTGCAGCCCCCACAGAGGGCAGGGGGTTCTCGTGGCGGCTGGTGTAGACAGCCTGAGTGGGTCCACGAGAGTAAATACCAACCAGAGGCTCCTCCCGCTCACCGTCGGCGGACGGCGGCGGCGCCAGCAAGGCTCGGCCTTCTCGAAGCCCACGTGCCGGCGCCGGGAACCTCACCACGGCGTCCCTGAACCGCCTCGCTGTCTTCGATAAGAATAAATTGGGCCGGGCGGATAGCCACTCTTTTGATGAAGCAGAGGAGAGGTTGAGGGGCCCGGCCGCTCGTTTATTACGCGACCCCTATAGACTCCGATGTTGGCTGGAGCAAAGGGGAATAATGACGGAAGAACGACAGAGAGAGAGGGAGAGAAAGAGGTGGCTCTCTATCAACGTCGACAGTAATTTTTACGAGGGTGGATAGTGATTGGTCTACTGTGACTAATCTGTCCTCGAGTAGGTCTGCTCAGATGGCTTTTCATCTGTAAGCCCGTCGATTTTGGGGATTTGTTGATCTATTTGTTTGGAGTTTGAGGGTGCTCATGTTGGAGAGATCCTCCATTCACAAGATGAGATGAAGATTTTCTTGCCGGCGGGCAATGTCGAGAAATGGTTGGAAGTCACGAGGGAGCGAAAGAAGAGTGTTAAGCACATCTTGTAACCCATCTTTCTTAATCGGGAAGACTTGAAGAAAAACACGTTTTTTGTAATCCCCGTGTTCACTTCCTCCGTCCCTGACAACCTGTGTAATCTGATCGATCGCCGCAGCCAACGCGGCCGTTACCCGTTATCTGGGGACAGGCGGAGAAGAAAGGGCAGCCTTCCCCTTCCCTGTTTCTCCTCTCGGTGGGTCCAATTAACCAGGAGACCTGCAGCAGCACTGTAACTCTCTCTCTCTCTCTCTCTCTCTCTCTCTCTCCCCGTCATTTCGTTTGCCTGCTATCTACCCCGGCCGCCGCCGATTGCCAAAGCCGGAGATGGGTCTTGGGGAGACGATTGCAACTCTGAACTGGCAGCAGGAATCCTACCCGGCGTACCGCGACTTCGCCGTCCTGCCCTTCCTCGTGGTGTTCTTCCCCACTGTCAGATTCCTGCTGGATGTTTCTATCTTCGAGGTAATCTATCCCTGGCGATATGCCATCCTTTTAACTGCGAACATTGCATCTTCGCCCAAGAGACGGTTCTCCCGGACAGATTGAGGTGGATGGGTCTCAACTGGTGAGTGTCATCCAATGTAGGACTTCCTCGTCTCCTAGAACTGGATGCATTTCGCTGCTATTGAGCGTTGGGGCCTTAAAAAGAAGATGATCATTCTAAATTTTGGGAAACAGGCCTATCAGAACTTGTTCCGCCTTCGGAATATTCTGATATGATGCGCTTTTATCTGTCGGATTTCGGTTTTTATTTTGATTTATTTTCTCTTAATTGTGATTGGAATTTTTCTCATAAAATGCGTCAGATTATGCTGAAGCGTGGTGAGATCATGGTCAAGTCATTGGTACAAGTAGTTTAATCGTTGCCTATCCGATAAATGCTGTAGATTACCTTAATATTTGGGTTGAAGCCTTTCAAGATGGATGGTTTCTTTCGAAGATTATTACCGCCCCTTTCTTTTTTCATAATCCAACTCTTACACATTTTTCTAACCAAGAAAGTTCTGTCTGATATATATAAAATCCTGATAATTAGTTCTCTCTGAGATCAAATCAACGATATCGATGTAATACACGTATTGCTACGCGTTTGCTTTCCTGTTCCTTGTGGTTGAAGAACATCAGATGGCTCTACATGGGTCGTTAGATCTCTCAGCTAAAAAGTATTTGTGCTTCACAGGGCTTTCGATTATCATATGATATAACCACTTATTTTCCCACGAGTATTCCTCAGTATTTTTGAGCAACATATTTCCTCTTATAGCGAATGGCGAGGCGGCTAGTACTTGGGAAGCAGCACACGAAGCTGGGTGCTGAAGTAGATGGGAAGAGGAAGAAGCTTGATAAGTTCAAGGAGTCAGCATGGAAGCTGGTTTATTTTCTGGCGTCAGAGCTGTTGGCTCTCTCCGTCACGTACAACGAGCCATGGTTCACCAACACCAGAAGCTTTTGGGTGGGCCCCGGGGACCAGGCCTGGCCTGACCAGAAGATGAAGTGAGAGTGCTTTCCCTCTCTTATAGAAGCTTAGATGGCGCTGTTTCTTTCTCTGAATGGTTCTGCTCTGGTTCTCACGACTCTCTCACTGGATCTTTCATCATTCCCAGGCTGAAACTGAAGGGAGTCTACATGTATGCTGCTGGATTCTACGCTTACTCTATATTCGCATTACTCTTCTGGGAGACAAGACGGTCAGACTTCGGGGTCTCGATGTCGCACCATCTGGCGACTGTCATTCTTATCGTGTTATCGTACATATTCAGGTCTGTTTCCTGATCCAGAATGGGAATTTCGGTCCACATTTTCATCCGTTTTTTGAATATTTGATCTTGAGAATGAACCCGAAAAAAAAAAAGGGTTTCGCCTAAACTTCAAAAAGTAATATTTTTTTGCCAAACATACTGAATTTTAAATTCCTGCCGATTAACTTCATTCTTTTCAAGGAGATTGGGTGAGAGAAAAACTGTTATTGGGACAGTTCGGCGTGGGCAAGTCCCTAGCCTTTTGCGTGAAACATTCGATTTGGAAGAACTGCAATGTAATGGTTTACATATTTTCTGAAAATGCCTCAAATCTCTATGTAGTTCATATAAACAGAAGTTACACGCAGCTGACTGCTCTCTCTCTTTCTCTCTCTCTCACATCCTCATCAGAGTACAGTTTTCTTGCAGATTTGCTCGTGTGGGTTCCATGGTCTTGGCTCTTCACGATGCAACTGACATCTTTCTGGAAATGGCAAAGATGTGCAAGTACAGTGGTCTCGATTTATGGGCTGGAGTTCTATTTTTTCTGTTTGTTGTCTCATGGGTTCTTCTTCGCCTAATATACTTCCCACTTTGGATCATCCGAAGCACCAGGTGACCACAAACTTCCTCTCGCATTCTTCCCTTCAGCCCTTTCAAAATCATGTCATTCATTAAGGGGAGCCCTGCCCAACGACTGATGCAGTTCGACTCAGACAGTACTTTGGGAGGATGAAGCAGATCATTCTGTGGAGTGTGACTTAAAAAAAAATTAAGACGTGTTCTTCCTCTGTTAATCCTCACTGCAGGCATAAAATTTATCTACGTCATCTACCTTAGTCTAAACTTTCTCAGGATATTCCACACAGTCGTCCATTTACCAGTAGAAGATTCGGCAACTACTGCAGCCCCGGCTTCCTCAGCCGGAACTCCCCAGGTGGAGGAGTTAATCGGAATGCTGCTAAGCTATCCGCATCTTTTCTATGAGTTATTATTTTCTGCAAAGAATGGTTCTACGGAATTCAAGTTTTAGAGTTGTGATGATGAAGAACTAGCTAGGCAAATAACATTTTTTTTTTCTGGAATCAGCTCACCATTTTTAGTATAATATTGCGGAAATTTATTTTTTTTATTTGGAATTTTCATGATATTTCCCGTTAAGGGTCATCACCATCTGTTCTCGAATCTCCGTAATTTTTTTACCTTTTAAAACCTTTTTTTTTCAAAGAACATCGTGCGGCCTGCTCAGCCAAGATGAGGATACCTGGTGGAGATTTTTCAGCTTCTCTCGTTGACCAAATTGTGATGATAGCACCTTGAACAATAACCAATATTCTTCCCCCCACTGCTTCCACTCATTCACCTTCCCTGCATTCGAATTCATCGAGTTGTGCTTCTTTTCTCATTATATGGGGCGCTGCTTATTTGTCTTTGGTGTTCATCCTTTGATAGTTATGAGGTAATTTTGACCTTGGACAAGAACAAGCATAGGATCGAAGGGCCAGTGTACTACTATATCTTCAACAGTCTCCTCTTCGCCTTGCTCATTCTTCACATCTACTGGTGGGTGTTGATCTTCCGGATGCTCCTGAGGCAGATCCAGACAAGGGGCCAGATTGGGAATGATGTCCGATCAGGTGGGTCTCACAAACTTTACTATTTCCATCCCATGAGCTGCAACCTGTCGCACAGCAAGGTCACAGCTAGAAAGCCCATCTCATTTGATCATGTTCTAGCTGCCTGAAATGTATCGTTCCTTGGGTGTACAGATTCAGAGGGCGAAGATGAGCACGAAGACTAGCTCCAGGATGAGGAGGGAGGATGAACCTCACTATGCCTTTCTGCTCGCCATCTCTTCTTGTTCTTGTTCCTCTTATTCAGAATCTGATGGTGAATTGTGGCCCTGTTCCCAATTCTTCTCCTTCATTCATTTGTTTTCCTTATATATTTTTTGCACCTGATCTGGGAATGCTTGTGGTTAATCTCTCCAACTTGTGAAATGGTGAGGTAGAAGCATCATGGGGAAAATGAGTGAAGAAGAAGACCAACAATCAGTCAGGGCAAGCTTGAATTATCACCAACATCCAAATAACAAAGAATATGCATACAGTGAGCAAATGGAAGACCTTAATGATAGCAGCCTCTCCAATTCAAAGGGGAGGCCTGCAATCAACTGGCTTTCCCTTCCCCAGTTCTCAACCAGCCAGGCCACACAAAGGGCAAGCAGCAAAAGGGTAGACGGAGTACAAGATGCAGGAAGTGAGATCAAGGGGGAAAAGCAAATAGTTGTGACGAAAATTGGAAAAGGAAAAGTGACACAGCCTATCCATGTGTACAGTATGCCACTCCAATGCCCTCAGTTAGAACTCTTCAGCACTCTGAGAGCGCATTGGACAGCCATTCCGACACAGATGCTGTGGATGAATCTGGTCCGAGGTGGGAGGGCAGGTAGATGGGGGTCACAGTAATCTGCAAGACGAGGGGACCGCATGACGATGAGATCCTCATGGAGGATGATGAGGAGAGAAGGGGGTGAGGGCCAGCGTCAACTCACAAAGCCATTCTCAAGCGCCCTGAAGTCGAGATCTTCATCTGTCCCATCCTCTTGGTCTTTCGCTAGAAGCTGCAGTTGAGGCACAACACGTTGGTCGGACAATGGAAACGATGCTCTTGGAGAAAAATAATAAACTAGGATGTTCCTTTTACATGCAGAGGGTTGCCTCATCAGGGATAGATTCCCGCCTGTTTTATGATTAACGTAGAGGAAAATAAGCACGGCACTTGGTTAAGTAAACGGTTAGTACCTCCAGTCGAAAGTATTTCTTGATGTTTCCATGCTGGGTTTCTGATTTCCCAGCTGCTGCAACTGATTCTATCTCCACGGTTTTTCTTTGAGTATTAAGGCGACGGGCTGCACCCTGAAATAAAATGAAAGCCTCATGGAAATCTCAGAAACAAGCCTAGAACGTCAAATCAGTTCAGTATCATGGAAAATATGTTATAAGATACTGACCGCTGCAGACGCATCTCGGCTAAGCTGCGCAAGCTGTATGCCTAGGCTTTGATGCTTGGACATAAACTGGCCAGCAGAAGGATGCTTGTATCCTGATACAGCTTGCCAGCTCAGAGTAGGCTTCCACACACTCTGTCGGGTGACCTTGAAGCCCTGGATACAATAAAAAAGCATAGACTATAAGGAACCCGAACTACGGTTACCCGTTATCAACCATTCAGAAAGCATTGGCGAGGTTGATATATAAATTTAAAAAAAAAAAAAAAAAGAGAGAGTAATCTTCAAAACGTTTTATGTGAGAATCATAATCCTAGCATGAAGCTTATGAGTCAGATTGAAAAAATGAGTGTGAATCGTTAGGTAGAATAATACGTAGGTGTTCCACAGCAGTGCAAAAGATCTCCGCTGCCTTCTAAATCCTGAACCTGGCAAGGGGAAGATGCATACGGTATGGCTGTAGGAAGATCTCCACCTGTACGAAGTTCTAGATGCATACGGTATGCCTCTTCGTTGTTTTATCGGAATATGGGTGAGGGACAGGGGGATAGCTTGCCAATGGTTTGAAGGACAGACTTAAAGAAGATTTACCAAATCTAAGAAACTGTGCTCATAATTCAATTCCCAAATTAATAAGAACAGTCCAAAGGATGAACAGGCAAGCATAATTATACACATCCACACGATACAAGTGATTTTGTATAGTTATCAGAGCTTGCTGTGCATGCCCCATCATCTCATTTCTTAAAAAGATGTTTTAATCAGAACGTAGGTATTCAGCCATTATTCGTCTTCTTTAAGGAATCCCAATTCCCATAGTTTACCACATCCCTGTACTTCAAAAATTCTTCTTGACAAAAAGGTGGGTCTATTTCTCCATAAAAAGCTACCAGAGAACCATCCATATTTCAACCAAACTGCAGCTTTCTGAGAACTGTATGAAGGTTTGTTTCTTGACGAAAGAACCATGCAGTAACATCCCTATTCTTCCCACAGACCATTACTCCTAAATCCACATCCATGGGCCTCTAAAACTTTTGGGTTGAGGTGTGTATTAAGGATCCAAACACCTTGGATTTTTATGAAATCATGCCTCCTACGAAAGAATTTATTATGAAAAAACTTGGCCTCTTCATCAGTAACTCCTATAATTTGATTAAAAAACCATAACAGTAAATTTGAGCTTCTACAAGAAATTCCATACCCCTCATCGCATGAATGAAAATGCAATGTAGAAAAGCATTTGCAGATCTGACATTTTAAATACTGGATAAATAGTAGCTAAGCATGGAGGCGCAGAATGCAAACCCATAATGGGAATTTTTCCTAACCGTAAAATCAGTGAGTGTGGCCACATGGACCTGCATGTCTTCTCACAATGATTTATACCCACAGTTTACCGACTTAATCCATTTAGAATGACTCAACAAATCACGCTTTGTTTTCCCAGATACCAAGAACTGGTCAAAGTGAGTTCAGCCAACAAAATCACAAAATTATAGACCCCTAAAAAACTGATTATTACCAAAAGGATTATATATATATATATATATTCATATATGTCAGAACTGAAGAAATCCGGGTTAATGCCTAACTCAGCTTTTCTTTTCAGCACCCAATATAATGCCGGACTGGCTAGGCCTTGCTTGTAATGTCTCTCTCAGACCATTACAAATGCATTATGGACAGCACAACATCATAATATATTAATGCATTTGGCATACAATACAAAAGACAACTTAAGGCCCTGAGGGATCCATGATTTAGTATATTTATTTCTCAGAGATCATGTCACCATGCAATCCATCTCGGTTTTCCAACACATGAGGGACACAATATGAGTGGATGGGAAAGAAAGACCCCAAAACAGAATCTATTATTGACAAGGAATTTTATCCACAAACTAAAATATAATCTACTATCTAAGTAATGATGACAGGAAAAATCAACAATGAGAAAAGAAGACTCAGGTTGACAAGAGAGTTGTGAATGAGAGAGTTGGATGGAGCAACGGGGAGGAGAGACGAAAATCTTAGGAAACAACATTTAACAGCCAGATTTTTTTCCACTGGCTCAACCCAGAAAATTTTTGAAAAAAATATTCCACGTAAAAGAAACCTCTTGAAAACAACCCATTTCAGACGAGCACATCAGTGGGCCTCCTGTATTTTCTTTGATATGTTGAAAGTGGCCTTTGTGAAGGGTGTTCTTTGAAACAATAGTCTCCATCCAAGTCACCCTCAAGCCACCCTTATAGAGGGTGGCTTACTCATCAAACGCTGCCCCTGCCCAGTATACAGACAGCTTTCTCTGAGAGAAGCCACCAACTTGAAGGGTGGGAATAGCCAAACCATTAGGCCGAAGATTCCGAAAAGCAAACCACCCCTTGAAAAAAGGAAGCCATCAGAGGGGCAGCTTACCCATCAGTAGTTGTTGCTTCTATAATGTTGGAAATTTTCATCACCCTGACCCAGCTCAACCTCTCTCCCCCCCCCCCGTCCCTCCAAAACAGCCCAATCTACCACCATTACATGGGACAGGAAGTGAATCTCCATCATCCACTGGCCCGCAGCTATGTGGGACATCAAGTCAGCAGCGAAGTTGCCTTGTCTTACCTGCCCCTTCCTGATTCCCTGTAGCTATCCAGGAAGACATAAATAGGTTTAAGTCTCTATCCACCCTTGATTACCATGGCTTTGCTACAATTGGAGGCGGGAAAGCTGCCCTGATGAAGGGTGGCCAGGATGGGTTTCTTTCAGGAATGGTATGCCCCCATCCCAGAAGATTGCGAAGTTCCAAGAAGCCCACCCTTATGATGGGTGGCTTCGGCAAAAGAAAGTCGCCCATCATTAAAGTGGCTTTTTAAGTTGCTTCCCTAGGGGGGGCTTTTGAGGATAAAGCTGGAGCTATTATGCCAAGTTGACATTTGCAAGGGAAGCTTCTGCATTGGTATTCCCATAATAAACAAATCACCATCATGCGCTCCTTTTCCACAAATACCTAGAAGATAATGGGTAAAAAATACCAAGAAAAGGGGTTTCGAAAGGTAGAACAATCTAGAATATTTTGTCGGCTACCCAAGTCGTGTCAGTCAAACTGGTAGAAGAAATCAATTCATTTCCCTATTCTGGTAGCAATTCACCACTTCTAATTCGATCCTAGAGTAGTCACTCTAACTGTAGCTGTCATCCCTGCTTTTGTACGGCTATGGACGAGTCCTATTGACATGATCAGAAAGATGGCACTACAATTAATTGAATGATCCTTATCCCATAGAAGTTGAAATATCATCAAGAGAAAATTGTTGCAAAAACTTTGCCTTAGAGTAATACCAATGAGATGGCATATTGATGTGTCAAAATTGATTCTTGGTTGGGTCGTCTGGGTCAGAAGATGCAACAGTTGTTCTCTGACACACAATTCTAGCCAACTACAAACTCAAGAAAAGTTATTACTTTATATTTTATTGAAATCATGCCCGTCAAGGCACCCAGATGATTTCAGGTGGCTGTTAAAAGCCTGACCTAATTAACTCCGTAAATAGAGAAATATATAAAATAATGGGTTTCTCACATAATTGTAAAACCAACACTGAGCACACATGCGTTTTCACTTTTCTTCTATAATCCAGGCGTTATTTTGTTACGAGTCAAGTGATAACATATGTAGGACGCAAAAGGAGGTCACGTTCAAAGCACTCAAGAGAAACTTCAGGAGAATTCCACAGATCAGACGTCTCAGATGAGAATGACAGACGAATATAAATAGAGCTCTAAGGAATGGAATAAGGCGACAGATAGTCAAAGACTAGGGCAGGGAGGGGATCATCTCGAATCCCATCCCCACCCTACTTCTCTCCCTCCCCTCTATTTCGATAGAACTGTCATTCTGACATCCCAAAAACACTACATTTTCCAAGGTTCTTAAATCGGTAGTGCCGATTTTCTTTCCCCTGATTCGTTCTGATCCGATCCTTCCAAAGAGGATCGTATCATATTTCATGATTGGGATGCAACATACCTCTTTCTTGCTCTTCTGACTTATCAGTTAGACAACAGCCATGACAATTGAACATCTGAGCGGTAGTCCCAGAGCTGCTGCACAGTTGGTGATGCCAAATATAGAGGACTTGGTGAGCGGCAGTCATCAATGCAGCTCAATCAACTGATGGAAACCATCAGCTTCAGCAGAACGACCCAACTCCCTTCCCTGTCCCAAATTTTTTTCATTATCTTCCTCTTTCCATTTCCGATTTCTTGCTACAACGAAAACCTAAAAAGTAGCCATATGCTCCACGGCCGAGATCAAAGAAACTTCCTTTTAGAGTACACATCTAGGAAGAATTGCAGGAGCCCATGTGTCACCAAGGTGACGCCTTGACAATTACACTTCAACTTACGCAAACAAGTAGCCTAGATTGTTAGATGTTCATCTACATCCGGTATTGTATATCATCCTTATGAGAAGGAAGCCAGACATACGCGGAAAAAACAGTTGTCATCTATCAGTACCATATTTTCACCTCAACAGTTCAATTCCAACACGCAAGAAATCAGATCAAATAAATAAAAGGCGTGTTCTCTCCAGAGAGATTTTGTGCTTTGGAAAAATGTATGTCGGTGGTGTATTCCGATCTCCAATCATCCATCCAAACATCTGGACTACATCAGATCACATAATGATTATCCAGCGAACAAACTTCTGCAAGATGATACTATTCAGAGATAAAATACTTCCACAATAGAAATGTACGAACCTTGTTTGTAGCCGGGGAAGTAGGAATATCAATATTCAGAAAGCAACCTTTGGGAAAAACACCCTTGTCAATGTCCCTTATAGTAGTGATAATTAATGGTAAACAAGAGTCTGCTGCAGCTCTGAAATCACTCTCTTGACTTTCATCCTTCTTCCTAATAAAAGCAAACACATTTCAATTGGCAAACTAGAGAAAATGTGCAAAAATCAAAGAATATGCACTGACCAATTCAGAGATATTGACAGAGAAGGTATTCCACACATTGAAGCTTCCCTAGCCGCAGAAAGTGTACCTGAGTAGAAGCTGCAGAGACAGTCAAAGATACGTACAGGCAAACACGCAACTACAAGATAGGCGCAGATCCTTCATGAAAAAAGTGGCGTAAGAAAACGGTTCGATTAAAAATTATATCTGGAGGAATGGATATCAACCATCCGAAAGAAAAAAATAATTTATTTAAAAACCTCTGGAAATATTTTGTTTTTCTTAGACATATTTCTCTGAGACCGTAGACGATTCCATGACAAAGTTTAAATAGATACAGTTTTTCAAATCATGAAACAATGAGACAGCCACAAAAACTCACAAGTGATTGCCGCCATTTGATCCCCTGCTGATTCCACTAATAACCTAATTTTTCAGAATGCACCTATGTCAAGGTCAAGATTCAAAAAATTGAAGTACAAATCCAAGCATAATTTACACAAACAAGTACCAGTGCGGGTTTTGAGAAGCAAAATAGCGCCCCAGACAAAGCCAATGAGACACAATCCACTGGAGTACCTGTTCAATATGGCAAAGATAAAGTAAGATTTAAGGATAGAAACCCAAAAGTTTTAGTACACTATGCTCATATCACTAATACATATCAATCCGTATGTATGTGAATATAAAAATTTCGTAAATTGTCTGCCAGAAAACGCCACAAAATCAAGTCACTTTGCTTCCACCGTTCAGCAAGAGAAACAGAAAGTTGAACGTGATCGTACCTGCAACTTCAAAAGCTGTAGCACCATTTATCTCCAGGGAACTTGCAACAACCGTATCCCTGACTGTGACAGAGTGTCCAGATAGGGATTTATCCCTACAATCAAAATTAATCACCATGAAAATAAACCCCAAAGATGACATGCTCAAAGGGGTATGGAGGAGACTAACCTTGCACAAATAAATGGCCACGGTTAGCCATCATGATAGGGAAAAGAAAACCTCATATCTGAGTGGGACGAAGAAAATCAAATGGTGACATTCGAAAACCGGGAGGAAAACACGATGAAGAACATGAAATATATTCATACGCAGAATTCTACTCGACCACATTGAAAGGGATTTCAAAGAGGTCCAACCGAGACCATCGAGGAAAACGCCAAAATTCACAGACAGGGAACTCGGATACAAGAAGACCTACGATTCTGGCACGCAGACGTGAACCTCGAACCGGCCCTCCGCGACGAGGGTGTCAACGAGCGGTCGCAAACCTGGGCCTTCGATGCCATCGCCATTGGTCACCAGAATGATGGGCTTCGATTCGGGGGCCACTGTGCTGCTCTCCGCGGGGTCCGCAGACGAAGAAGACGGCTCCGGGCTAGGCTTAGGCTCCTCCTCCCGACGCTCTCCACCACCATTTCTCCCACTCAGCACATTCTGAAGATTGGCGAGGAGCGATGGAGGCAGATTATTGTTCCTTATCGAAGTCGAACTCGTCGTCATGAGAAACAACCTCCGCACTGAATTCAGGAGACGACCTCACCAATCCAAGGAAATTCTACCCCAATGATGGAACTACGGGAGAGAGGAGGAACGGGGGAGGCAGAAAAGGGACCCCGACGCCAATGCCGGGTCAAATGGCACTAATGCTACTGCTGCCTCCCCAAAGAGGATTTGGAGACTTCGAAGGAACCATTCCAGGGTCGGACGTAGCAGAGAAACTCGCGGATAATCTCACCGCCACTAATGCTACTGCTGCCTCCCCAAACTGCAGGCTCCCAATTGGCCTATAAGCTAGAAAAACTATAAAGATCATGAGTCAAGACCTAAGTTTGATAAGCTTCGTACTTCATGTCATGAGCACTTGGGGTTCTCGTCACCGCCAGGACCACAGCCATCCACGAGCGTGTGGATAAATTGAAGATGACGCGGTCGACGTCGCGTGGGTGCGATCCAGAAGTGGAGCCCCTGATCCCGAAAAGACTCGTCTATGTACACAATAAATAATACTATGTGGCTTTTGTCCTAATTCCCCCTTTTCTTGATGTAATAAATAAAGAAACACGACGCCCCCTCCGGAGGCTATCGTCATTACGGTAATTTAATTACTTAATTAATACGCTTAACCAATGGAGTTAATAGGCCCAGAGAAACCCCCTCTCTCCGGTTCGGCTCGGGTCGGCCCGGCCCGCGTTTCTCTCTCTCTTAAAGAATTTGCCTGTTTCCCAAGTCGGAGCACGTGGATGTAGCTGGACGCAATAACGCATTTAATTATCATATTAGGCCCAATTTTCGAGGACACATTTTTCTGGGAATAAAATGAGCCGCGGGACATTAATGAGAGATGCCGGCATAAATGGAAACATCACGGCCCCCTTGAAGGTGAGCATTAAACGCCCTCGCCGGAGATGTCGTCATTTTCCCAATTCCTCCAGAAAAGTAAGAAGAATTGTTTTATGACCTCAGGCTCTAATTATCGCCGTTGAGCCCAAAAAAACTCCGTGTTTAAAGCTAACATCATTGAGTCGACAAAAGGCATTAGTATTAAATAATTTATATAAATTACCAAAAAAAGTACGTACCAGATTTACTCGCTGTGTGTGAGAGAGAGAGGATAAATTCCTTACTTATTAACCCATTTTTCATTATTTATTAATATATCAAACTATTATCTCCACTCGCCCATGATTTATTTATTTTAAATTTATATTGAGGTCATTTATTTTAGTTTTTATTTATTATCTTACATCGAGAAACTGTAATACTGCATATTGTCCACTCTAAAATCGATAAAATAATCTTAGAAAATTGAAGAATGTTGATATAATTTATGTTGTAAATAATAGAGAACTCGGGTGAAAAAAATAATCCATCAAAATCATAATGGTAGATAGAAGAATGACCGTTGGGGCCTACGGTTGTGATCTCAAGAAACGGGCTGTTATGTTTTCGGTCGGGGCTGCTCAGATAAGCTCGAGAACGCGGGGGATGGTTAACCGTGTGATGGTGAGCTTGCGGTTTATTTTACCGCTGACTCGCCTTCTACCTCTCGTTCTCTCGAGAGGCTAGGTGTGGAGCCACTGTTGTGACCCGAGAAACGGGCTAAGTTTTCGAGCCGGGCTTTTTCAGATAAGCCCGAGAACCTGGGGAATGGTTAACCATGTTATGGTGAGCTCGCGGTTTATGTTACCGCTGACCAGACTCCTTCTCTCTCCCCCTCTGTAGCGGCCCGCCATCGTCGTCCCCTTCGTCTCGCTCCACTGCTAGTATGAATTTTCTGCGTCTTCCGGCCGCTCGTAGCCCCCCTTTTTCCCTTTTTGAATCCCCCCCTTATCCGCGTTCCTCCTCAGCTTCTTGCCTCCCGATCCGGGCTGTGGTCACAAGTCCCAACTCCCGCTTCCCTTGGCGAGCCACAGCTCCGCGACTGCGCGAGGCGCGGCTTCGGAGTCCGAAGGTTTCGCTCGGCGGAGGGCAGGATGCGCCTCCTAATGAGGCATTGGTTGGGAACAGGCGGGGAGGAGCGTTTGAGGCTTCCTTGGTGGAGTCTGAGGATTTGGGGAGGGACGGGGAGGTGTTTAAGAAGACGCTGAGGCTGGTGGAGTGCGCCATGTTTGCCTCGGTCTCTGCCTTAGCCTACCTCCTGAGCAATTCTCTCGCTATCGAGGTGGGTTTTGGAATCAATTTTGATCCGCGTCGCTTGAACCTCTATTGGAAGTCGGTCTTTTAACACCCTTCCTACTGGAAGTAGACGTTAAAAAAACTGAATTATTTTTAAATTGATGATTCCTTGGTTTAATATTTCATCGGTCTTCGTTCACTAGAATGGTTCATCAATGGTGTCGGTACATTTTTTAAGAGCCTTGTAATGCTCCGTTGACGAGTGACAATTAACAGTGCCCCCTGAATTCAATGTCTTAAGAATGATATCACAATCAGCTGTGAAAGAATCAAATCAAAATTCATGAATATTATAAAAGACGTATCTTTAAAACTTCTCTAAGCTCTCAGAATGGTAGGATCCGTTAGGAATACCTCTGATCTTATCTGTACCACTAGCATCGTATTTGAAAAGTGAGAAGATTCTTTATTCTTGGTTATTGTATGACCTTCATGGGTCTTCACAAAAATTGATCGACAAGACTTGGCATATTTTCTGATTCGTAATAAACTAAAAAAGGATGATTCTCAAGACATGGAAAAAGTATTATTTGGAAACCCATTATATCTTGAATCCATATCTTGAAATCAAATACAATGTAGGCATTCCTTGTGGGTCGATTTGAAATTGACAGTTGTCGTAAAGATGGTTTAAAAGCTCATAAAATATTTTAAAATTATCATGTAGGCTGACTTCGTATTTGCATGGTGATGCCCATCTCTTATGCACTCATTCGGTGGATAATATCCGTCCATGTGCACATATGTTTATTGATCTTTGTGACAAAGCTAGAGACAATAATTCAGGGATTTTTTTTAAAAGACTGCTTTTAGTTTTCCACCCATTATTTGATTGGACTTCCATGTTCATATGCGGAGTGCAGACACTTTTGAAGGCAATGTTTTGTTCGAGCTATTCTAGTCACAAAGGGAAAGAACGTCGATTGCCAACTCTTGAAATCTAAATTCATTCTTCTGTGTTTCCAATTTTGAAACCAAATTTTAGCTGTCTCATGATTTCTCTGTTTCCCAAACCCATTAATTTGCAGCTAAGATTCAAGACGACCATTATAGGACTAAGTGGAAGTATAATTCTCAGGTAAAAACCATAGAGGAAAGATAAGAAATGTTTAGAATCTTTACTTTCTAAGCTTGCAGAGGGTATTTGATGTAGTGCAGAATGATGGAAATAAGGAAAGGCAAAAAGTGCAACGCAATAGGCACTGAAGGGTCAAGCGTGGAAGGTCCTACAAGAGTCATCTGAGTTGCCCATGAGGCTCAAAACGTGTTACCCTTCCTTAGACTGATATTATTTTTCCTTGTAGAAATCCTGGATGTTAGCAGATTTTCCTTTTCAAATATTATTATTCAAGGGACCTAGAACTAGTTCTAGTTTTTACGAACCCTGCTATTTTGGTTCTTGTGAATTCAAGGATTACCACGTTCATTCCTTGCGGATGGAAAATTCGAATTATTATTCTTGACTTTTGCTACATCAATTTGACAAATGCGTTGAACTGACATGGGCTGTTTGGAAGTATGACTTTGGGTTCTTCCATTTTGAGAGGAATAACGAAAATGTGTGGAACTAGCCAGAAGATTAAGTTTCCTTTAATATTGGACCGGTCCTGATTTGGAGTCCCTGGAGTTTGGAGTTGGCAATGTCTTCAGGTAGGGAGACTCCGATTGAATGTGTTCATTCCGATAGCATCTTCAGCTGGTTGGTTATTTCCTTCAAAACCTCGTCTATATTATATGCATTTCTTTAATTACTTAGGCAGTACATATGTTCTGGTTATTTCATTGAAAAGAGATTTTGTAGCATATATAGGGCATAGAAATTGCCATTTTTTTCTCGTGTGCTACTTGGTGGTCTGGGGTGATTCAATAGATTAGAGATACGATGCCTTGTTAGAGTGTGGACCTTCCTTCCATTCGGGAGCTGGACTGGAGTTAAGGACCAAGGCCAGTTTTATGATGCTGTTAGTTTTTGGTAAACGCTGGTCTGGTTTGGACATCTAGTCTGCTAGGAATTCCAATCATCACTAATGAGAAAGGCGCATGCATCAGTTAGAGCCTAGTGACTTAGGTAAATTAGTTTTTTATTCGAAAATAAATCAGAATAATTATCTGGTTCTGATCAGTTTCAACACTTATCTCCAATAATATCCCCGAGTCGTGGATCATCAACTGTTCTTCCAAAAATAATCCGCCAATCTCGAAAAGCATGGTATCAAGGTATTCTTTGTGCCTTGATACCATGCTGAAATGGGGCTGCATGTAGTTATACGTCTTAAGGTATTTTGTTGGTTCATTTCATCTCTTGATGCTGCACTGGAGCCTGAATTGACCCTAGGCTTGTCCTACACAACTTTATTAGATAGGCAAGTTTCTAACGGGCATAAAATCTTTGATCACTTGTAGATGTAAAAGAAAATACAATGTTGGAATATATATTAGATGTATGGACGTTTTTAGGCGAGGGAATCTGCTTATAAAATTATGCAAGGAGGTAAAAACATTTTGATGGAGGTGGTCCGGGTATGAGGGGCAAGATTGAGATGCAGATTAAAATTATGACCTACGAACCTATGAATTTAACTTCATATAAGTTCTTTATGGAGAGCTTTAAATTGGGGATTGTTTTCAGTATCCATCATTCTCTAACTATATGATGGGCTGAACAAGGTATTTGTTTAACCCTGGAAATTATGCAGTTCCTGGAAGTGGCCCGGCGGGTTGGAGCAATGATATTCCTTATGTGATTGAGACTGTTTAATTTAAAAATGAAACCAGACTATTCGTTCCATTTAGAAGAGGCCTTCCACTACATGATTTCTTTCTCCGATATTATGTTATAGCAAATGATTGTTATGTGTCTCACAAACCATGTGTCTGCTTTGATACTCTATTTTGACCACATTCTGGAGCTGAGGACAGAATAGGACTCATGTGATTTCTTCGATGAGGGGGTTCTCTTACAGTTCGTTGAAGGTTTTCTCAATGTTTGCTTATGAGCTTGTATATCACCATTGACTTTTATTCTCCCCTCTAGCATAAGAGTGGCATGTATTTAATAGAAGTTTTCTCTTTGCAGAACTACATAGGCTGTTTTTTCGCGTTGCCTATAGTCATTTCTTCAATGAGATGGGGTCTGACAGCTGGAAGAAAAACCATGGTCTGTTATCTTTACCTGCAGTCGACGTTTTTTTTTATTCTTATGTTTGTAAGATGATGTCTCTGAATTTTATCATATAAACATTGCAAGGTTGCTACGGCAGTGTTATTGCTTACATTGGGTGGTCCAGTTAAAGCTTCAACTTATCTGGTATGCATACCTAGTTCTTACTATGATCTTCTATTCAGTCGCATGGTTTTTCTGTATGGTTAACAGGTCTCCCTTGTTGGTAATTTCTGCTGTTTTCATTGGATCCTCACTTTATGTAAACTTTCCAAAAGAAACCCTCTATGCTTCCCCTAGACTGGGAAAGAGTTTATGTACCTTCGATGTAGCCGTATTATCTTCGTTAAGTGTACTATCATCTACTGCCGTATGAATGAAAAGCGTTATGAAAGCATGGGATAATGCCAGTAAATCTCCGCAAGGTGCCTCTGAATGAAATAAATAAATATTTTCTTGCATGGATAGCTGTTATTGAATCCTCCTGGGGTTTTCATATTCATCAGCCTGACGCGTATAAGAATCACATTTTAGTTACCTTGTCTCCATATTCTTACGGTTCATTTAGTTATTTGTTATCTAATGCTTGTGAGCAGGTAGCTTAGCAATTATTTTTTACTTGCATTCTCGTAAACTGTCTACATGGACATCAGGACGAATTTGTTGCTCTACAGTTTTCTGATTATTTTCAACTACTGTGCAGCTCATGCATGGATTTCTTGGATTCACCATGGGTTCTCTTTGGAGGTGGATGCTATGCTTGCATGCCCACTTTACTTTTAAATCAACTATCATGACTTGAACTGTGGCCGTGTTTCTGCGGCTTCAATCTTTAATATTACATTCTGAGTTATCCTTTTGTTCTCCAGGATGCAGACAAGTTGGGGTCTTTCCATTGCTGTCTGTTCGCTCGTAGTGTCTATTAACCCTGGGCACCTCTTTTCTCCGGCTTGACTTCTTACTAATTTACTGTGAAATTAAAAACTGTAGTTCATCTATGTAGGTTCGTGCACTGGGTGCAGTAGGCTTTGTCCTGATAACTTCATTCCTGATCAGGGAAAACATACTTGCTTTAGTAAGTATATCATGGGCCCTGATTTCTCGATCTCTGTTGAAATTATCTGCTACTCACTATGGCAATGTAATTTCTAGATCACCATCAACATGCACGCAACCTTTTCATTCATGTGCGCTTCTGTTGGCATCAGCGCCCCCACGATGAACACAATATATGTTACTTTCGGAGTTCTGGTAACTCTAAGCATGGTCCCCTTTGATTTATACGGTTTATATCTTCAATGGAAACTGATGTATGTTCCTTGTGACCAGCTTATGATGAACTGTGGAATCTTGGTTCTCTTACTGCACATTCTCTATGGAATTTTTCTCACAAAACTTGGCATGAAGGATTCTTTGAGACTGCCAAGATGGCTAGAAAAAGCAGTATGAAGATAAACATGTACAATCAACCTTGAAATGATGATTTTCCTATGAGATGATCGTCCATTCGTGTTGTATATCAAAATATATCAAGGACGTTTATTAGCAGCCAGGGGCTGTTACCATACTTGTAATTTAGAACCTCAACAAGAAATTTATCATTTTTTTGTCAATCTGTAACTAAATCCATGACACTTTCCCATGATCTATTCATTCTTCTGCTTCATAAATTTCTTTATAATGCCCATCATCTCACTCCCCGGGAACCGCCCAAGGCAGCCCCTTGCTGCTACCACCTCGCTGAGCTCACTGACTGAGTCACCAGCAAACGCTCTCTGGGCTTCATGTCTCTTCCCTTCTGCCGGCGGCAACTCTTCTGCTAAATCCTCCCCAGCCTTGGCCGATGGAAGGGAGAAACTATCAAGGGGGGTTCCCATCACCACCGCCTCTCCACCGGCAGCTCCGACAAAGTCTTCCAACCGGCAGAGAGCAAATGGAACGGGCTCGAAGCTGTGATCTCCGTACTCCACAGGGGTGGAGTGATCTCCAGTGACGCAGAGGTAATACTTGAAACTCCCAGATGCTTCAGCTTGCCACAAGAGCTTTGCCAGCTGACCGATGGCCTTGTCCACAGCTTCGAGGGCCCGGACCTTGTACAAGCTCGCCTTGTCATGGCCAGCATCATCAATAGCCTGTCACAGACCGCAGTGAAGAAGAACTGAGGTAGTTTTCCAATGCACATCCTATGAACAATATGATTTAAGCCATTAAATTATGAAAAAAAATGCATAAAATTTGTAGAATAAATCAGAGATTCCCTATCATTCACCTTGATGTGAAGGAATCCAAAATCATACCCATCGGCAAAGCCTTGTTTGTATTCGTCCTCTCCTGGGACAAAAACACGGGGGCATGGCTGCAGAGGTGCAGAGAGTGCTTGGGCGATAGCTATTGCCTTGGAAGTGAGGAGGGTGCGGTAGTCTCCGGTAGCTCCAGGAGCTTCAAGGATGTCTATACCTAGTGACAGGCCTAAACCCGCAATGATTTTTGTAGGAGCAACCATGCATGGCCTCAATCCATGGCTCTCCATGAAAGAAGGAACCTAACCGAGAAGGCAAAGCACAGAAATGAGAAATAATTAGAACAACTGCTTGACAGATATCTGAGCTGTGCGATTCAAAATCAACAGGCACTGGGTAGAATAAATTCACATGGCTACTGGGAAAAGATAACTGAGATAGCTGTAACATGGATATGAGTTGTGGACTGACTGAGTTCTTTTACAGCTCCATCACTGGGAGAAGACGGGGGAGACAAACACATGATAGAACTTGACTGTGATTATAATGTGGTGGATCACACCATCTAAAGACAAAAACAAATAAATAATACGTGAAATTTACAGATTTACGTCACATTTAATATCTCACTTATTCAATTTTGTAACTGTTCCAACTGTTCGAAAGAAAGCCTTGTGGAGAGCATGCTATCTGGTGAGTCAATCACTTACCTGTCTACAGTCTCGGTGTTAGTTTTTCTGAAATTTCTTTCCAACTATTCATAAAGGCTATCATCATTCAAGACTAATATTTAAACTCAACAAATCCATCATCTTCTGTAGTTGCATCATCTTCTGTAGTTCCAACTAGTAACTAAGATGTCATTGCTGCACAGGTAATTGGGCAAACTATGAAGATACATTCCTATGATGGTGGCTGATGGGGTTAGAGATATTAATAGATGATCAGAATCAGTATCAAATGTAGTTCAGGATGAAATTTGCTAGGATCGGCAGAAAACAGCCAAAGTTTGTTCAATAAAATGGCAATCATCTGTTGATAATCTCGCCCACCGACCTCAATTCGAATGCCACAGCCCCGAAGCAGGACAATATTTGCAATACTCTTCCCTTCTGCCGCTCGCTTCTCATTGACAGGATGAGAGATGAGAACTTTGGACATCTGCTGGGAGAGTTCATTGACCACAGCGGCTGTGTTCTTGGCCTCCTCTGTGCCATCCAGAGCCTCGGCTTTCAGAAGGAGGCGGTTGTCCTTCAGTGGGTCTGTGCCTGAGATATTTCCGCTCAGATTTGGCCCCTTGACCACCACACCGCATCTGTGCTCAGTAGCATATCTGTAGAGAGAAGGCACACCACCATCAGCCACCCTCATTGCTTCACTCATCATGAAGAAGAAGACCAAAATAACAAAAACCCATGTCAGTAGTAATACTGTAGATTACTCCCCTAATTTGTCCTTCAAATCCTAACAAGCCCGTGATGTCTCTTTAGTGAGATCTAAATCTACGTTGGTTGAGCTTTTCTCTCTCTTCCCAGAGGAAAACTGTTCTCTGCTTACCTGACCCTCACTTGATAGCCTGGGAAAGATGGGAGCTTTATCCCATCCAATGCTTCACAGAGGACTGGGCCCTCTTCTTCAAAATGCCTGTCAGCCCTCCTGCTGGTCACAATGCCGGTGCTCTCATCCAGTGTAGCAAAGTTAGACTGTAAAAGGGTTAGACAGGAACGGATCAGAATTGGCATGGATGTAGCACTCTAGGTTAAATTTCATGAATAAAAAATAATACTATAGGGTACTTTCGGTATCAGTCTAACTCGAAAGCTGCCATAAAACTTGAGCTCTAGAAATTATGCCTGACTGGACCCCTTAATCAGAAAAAAAAAGAAGAAAAATCAGCAGCAGCGGGCCTATTCCGGGCACATGTTTCCACATGCAATCTGAGATCTTGTAACCTTCTATATATATATATCTATATATATATATATGTATACATATGGAGAGAGAGATAGAGAGGCATCGATAGATAAGATAGATAACAAATTCTAATATCATGGAATGGAGCTTGGAAGAACAGAAAAAACCCCACCTTGAAGGCGATATCTCCGGGAGACATGGCCAGACCGGCGCCCATCGACTCGAAGGCTCCTCTCCCCCGGTAGTAGACTCTTGGGTCGTAGCCCAGCAGAGAGAGGTGCGCCGTATCGCTCCCGCAGGCCAAGCCCGCTTCCACGGGGTCCATCAGCCCGTTTACGCCGGCAGCGGCGATGGCGTCCAGATTGGGCACCTCCGCCACCTGAAGAGGAGTCTTCTGCCGGAACCTCGGCAGGGACACGTCCCCCAGGCCGTCGATGAGAACCAGAACAACCCTCCTCTTCCTGGTCTTCTCCGAGGCGCCCATTGGAGAACAACCCTTCGTCTCCCCCTCCGGCAGCTCGAGATCGATCGCCGCCGGCGAAAGATCACCGGTGAAGCCGATGCTCAGAAGCTCGCCGCCCTGGTGCCGTCCCTGCGGAGGATGAAGGTGTACCCAGATCAAAATGCGTCGGATGGAGAAGACGGTAGCGAGATACTTGGGGAAATGATTTGAGAACCGGGCGGGTCTCGTACCAGGCGATCGGAGGTGGGCGAGCTCCGATTTTCAAGCGGGGGATCATGCGAGGAGGAATACAGTGGAGGAGTAGGGCCGAGCCGACGGTTCCGCCGGACGATCCGTGCTGCGAGGGAGTGGAGATGATGGCGACGAATGGGAAGAGGACATCTCTCTCTCTCTCTCTCTTCTCTCTCTTGCCCCCGGTCGAAATATCCCCACGTAGTAGTCGGCCTAGCGAGAGAAGGGGAGAGGGAGACAGACAGAGACAAACAGAGGGGGAGAGAGGGGAAGAGAGAGAGGAAGAGGATTCTTTGCGTACATTCGCCGCCATCATCCCCATTTTAACCCGACTCTTGATGTGCATCGAATCGAACGATACAAACTTAATACTAAACAAATTTAGTCTTAAATTATGAAATAAAATAAGTATAACCGAAAAAATAAGAAGAAGCTTTTAGGATTTCATTTTATAGCAACTCCCTCCAACAAGCACTTATCTTTATTTTATGAAAAATCAAGCTACCCCGTTCCATTGGAAGGTTACTAAAGATAGAAAGAGATTTCTTTCGGCCTCCAGAGTTTTGGGAAGTTGATTCTCATAAAGTTTAACTGTCTAATCTTTACTATTTCGTGCCCATGGGGAGGCTGTAAAGTAGATCGAGGTAGAGAGAGAGAGAGAGAAAAGAGAGAGGGAAAGAGGACTGTTCATGTATCTGCTTACACAGATTTTAAATTCAGAAGATTATTTTAGAAAAATATAGATGTCAATACTGAAATAGTAATGAAATACTCGAAGAAATTATCACATGCTTAATTGACCAATTAAAAAGAAAGATGGTGGGATTTATGGTGAGTAATGGATTCAGGTGAATGGTGAGGTATCTATCCATCAATGGATTTTGGTATGATGTGAAGCTGAAATAAAATCATTATAAACGTTGAATATTCGGAAAATATCTGCCCACACTTTTCAAATGCGCCTGTTCAATCAAATAATAAATAATAATAATTTAATTTTTTTATAAATATTACCAAAAATATGAGAATCACTAGGGTAGAAAGTAGAAGCTCACATAAATATCATCGAGAACAGTTTGTGCCCTGCATAAATAGGATACATTTGCATATCATTAAATTTATCTAGCAGCTCGACAACCACCAAAAAAATATTCTATAGCAATAAGAGCATCACACCAGCTAGAACTGATTGTTTTTTGGCAAAAAAGGATATAAAAAAGATGTGGGGAAGAGCTCAGCAGCTGTTTTTCACAGGCATCGTTGTGGCATCAAGATCAGCAATTATGATGGGATGCTAAAATCCTTTGATGAGACAAAAAGCAATCTAAGAACAGCTCTTTTAAACACATGCTGCTCAATATTTTATCTTAGCTTACAAGATAACAGCATCAACATATTATAACTCGGGGTCACCACAACAAAACACAGAGACCATGCTCACAACCGTTGACCCAAAGCCAACAAAGAAAGTGCTGAAAGCGGAGTTGAAAATCTCTCGAAGAATGAAAGTGTCAACACATGGGTGTAAAATAAAGGGTTCTTTGCAAACGAGTTGATACTATCATGCAAGGGTCAACACCTGTTTGAAAACGAGTGATATGCTTATGTTGGGTTAAACTACAACCAAATAAGTCAAACACAAAAAAGTTGAAAAAACAAGCGAATAAGGTTGAAAGTATCATCATCTTCCAACTATATAGCATGGGCGTCTTAGAATGACTACTTGGAAAGTCTAAGCTATAAAATATCAAGATAATGGGAGATTCATAGGATATGTTTCTCAAAAGATGCAAACTCTTCAAGATATTCATATTTAGGCTCACATTTATTCCTAGGCTTATATTCTTTCATTCAAGCTACACCTTCCACTACTACAAGCATGCCTGACAAGTGTAGGGGGTATAAGCGTTACAGTTTTTCTTTGAATTGAATGAGCAAGACTTGTTGGAGCCAGCTTGTAAGTGAAATAAGTTTCAACTAAAACCAGTGGAAATCCAAAGGGAAGGCTTCGGGAGTTAAGAATTCACCAAATCACTATAAAATCACAGTGTATCGTCCCACAGAAAAAAATTACCTTAATCATAACTATTACACACCTAAACTTTACATTGCTAACAAGCCTATAGACATTTAAGGAAAATATAATCGAGGAAATTTACGAAAAACGATGGGGAGATTAGAGGGAAGGAAACAATACCAATTAGATACTCGGAAAAAAGATTTACAAAAGGAAGAAAGATGATGTACATTCTTCCCTGTTTTCCCCTTCTTCCTCTTCGTGACTAAAAGGGACAACACAACCCACTGGACCAAAAGTTCACAAAATCCTACGAGGGCCACCGAAGCACACTCAGACGTTGATGCTGAATCCATTCATCTACGCGGGATCAGATCCTCTTGTTAGTGCGTGTGGATCAGGAGGCAGACGTCTGAGAGCCTAAAACTGGTCACACAAATGAAACAGATCAGACTGCCTTCCATCCATCTCCAAGTGATCCTCAGATTTCTCTTCGATTATCCGTCTGAGAGAGGAAGCCATGCGACTGAATTAGCTTTTACCCTTGTCCTCAATTTGGAACTCTACTGAGTGCGTCAGCCATCTAAGCTATGGTGCATAATCCTGGAAAGCAAAAGTTTCCCTATGAGGAGTTCAATAGGGTCTGCTGCCAGAGAAACAAAACAGAACCGTTTTACTGGAAGCAGCAAACAATAGGAGGAAAATATACCTGAACAGATGGGCCATTGTATCTTCCCTGACGTATGTAGAGGTCATCTGGGGCTTCAATCCTTGCAACCCATGCATGATCCTCATCTGGCTCTTCGGTATTGATTCCAGTGATTCCTTCTGGCGTTGTGCTCGCAGTTGCTGCCGTGGAACCTCTCAATTTATTAAAAGGACGCGCAGCATACTTTTAAACACAAACACACACACACACACACATATCTATGAAAAATAAAGTCCAATGATTCAAGATCAATGTAGAAGATAGTTTTAACTGTCTCTTTATCTTCAATCATCTTCGTTTTTAGTGGGTAACATTAAAAAGGTACAAAAGTCAACACTTGAAGGCTGTCAATGATCAGAACAGGCATAGTTGCTCCAGGTTCAATCATCAAAAATTTAAAAGATTAAATCTACCAACAAATTAAACCACGAACAGCTGGCACAGAAAATCCAGTTAAGAATACTTCAAAAATCAATCCTCTTGTACTTCATCTGACATCTTGTAAAGCTTGTCAACAAGGGATTCTTATGCTCTTATCACTGGCCATTGCGCTTTAGAAATTAGTTGTTGAGGCATTCTTACATCTTCCATGAATGAATTTGATCCCTGTTTAGTCTATTTTGAGAGAAAACTAAAAGCAACTGGGTACAATAAGAAATATGCTAGCTTATAAAAATCCAAATCGTATAGAATCAGTTAAAAACAATTTACTTACGGAAATTAGAAAAAGGATAATCATGATAGTATGTGCAAAATCGCCCAGTTGCTTCAGAATATGGTGGAGCAAGGACGTCCAGCACAGCACAAGATGAGATTGCAGTGAAGCAATGTAAGTTGCCTCCGCTTTTTGGATAGAGTACAGAAGTAGGGCAAGGAGCTGTTAGAACAGTGTCCTTCTGCAACTTTGCTAATCTAACTGCACGTTGATAGTAAACTTATTAGAATTAGATGCAAGGAGAGGTATAACATTGAAACCAATTTTTGCCTCGTATGAGGAAAATTAAATGGAGTATGAGATGAACTCTATGAAGGAAAAAAAAAACGAACATTCGAACGATGGAGCTGAAAAGATTCCCAAGGAAAAGACCCATTTCAAAGAAAACAACAACCAATCCATTTAAAGTAAGCAGTAATAAATAATGAAAAAAAATGTACAAGTAGATGTGTACGGTACAATCGTTAAATGTATAAGGTATCATTTCTTTATTATGCACATCTGTTGGTGATGTCTTTGAATGACTCTAGGAGGAAGGAAAAATCGAATAGAAAAATAACGTCGTATGATGCCGGCAAAGGATGAACGTATTATTCTAAATAGAAAACAGTCCTGCCGTCTCTTAGTTCCTAACTCGTTCTTCGATTTTCTTTATTTCACCATACTCTCCTGAAGCTGCCTACCGTCCTCTGTTATTAATGAGTGACAGGGGGATTTCAATATGGACCAAATATTCAAAATTAGCCAAGGATTTATTTTACAATACTAGCATTTGTATGTCTGAAGGATAAGATATAACCTTTTTCAGTATCCACCACCAAATTAGATCTCCAAGAAGCGAAAATGGGGAAATGATGGAGTACTATCGAATAAAACGCTGACTGAGTGCTTAAATTTAGAAAGAGTAAAATCACGTTTGTTAAGTTTAATATAAATATTCAATGTGTTGAGGAAGTAGCAAATCCTAAATTACGAGAGAGAGAGAGAGAAGAGCTCGGATAAAGAGGGAGAGAGACGGGAAGGAGTGAGGGAGAGATATACTTTCAATAAACTTGTAGATCACTGAGTTTCATTCTTAAAGACCACGATCTCCACTAACATGTGAAAAGGAAAAATAAATCCTCAAGGCAGTTATGCTACTTTAAATTTGATGAAACATCAAAGCTTAATCTTCACATTTCGAAACAAAGACATGAACCAGAGATCAGCACCAAAACGGTCACTAAATACCTGGCTATCGTTTACAAACTTCCATGCCTCCTATTTTGCCTATGTGGCTTGTTTAACCCATTGTGTTACTTTGTACTACGGCATGATGCCAAAAAATGGATGAAGCTATCCACTATGGGTTAAACAGGCCACATAGGCAAAATAGGAGACAGAAGCACACCTCATGGGCCATGGCACTAGAAAGAAGTCAGGATACTAAATGAAGTTACTACATTTTTGCACAGTATGCCCCTGAAATTAAGAGGCCAGCTTCAAACTTGAATATTTCTTTTTAAAAACCAGATCTGTGACATATATTGACCTTGATTAAATGACACACACGCCTGTAAAATCATAATTATGCTTTTACACTTCTTTTAAAAGGTAGAGTAACCTTGATAACATATCACAATACTCGCCCTCAATTATTAAAGTAGAGACCACAATGGTCACTGTTTCTAAGATTGAAGGGGTTTAAAGACGTATAATAGTTTTAAGCATATTCTCAAATATGGAAAAGTTCAAAAGACGCTGCAAAATTGAGGATGCAAATAAGACTCGCATTTGAAGATAACATGTTCTCAGGATGCAAATATTTTTTCCAAAATTGAGGCACCAGTCGAAAATGTGATTATTTCGTTTACTTTATTAAAAAATAGGACTCGCATTTGACAAATAAACATTTGTTAAGATCAGCATCTCATCGGATGCATTACAAAATCTAAATTTCTAAATTTGAGCGGCATAGCATACCTTGTCCATTACTTTGCATGCATGCAGGTTCAATCCAGTCATATGCTTTGACATGCATAGAGCCATAGAGGATTTTGCTTAAGACGGTCATTCCAGGATGATCATGGAGAGGGATAACCGATGATGTTGGTAAGCAGAAAATACCAATCTGAATTAAAAATGCATAAATCATTGCTTTAAAATCATAGATCTTCAAAAAGGTGACAGCTTTAACTAACAGGCATGAATAAACTGTATCCAGAGGATCAGCCAAAATGACTCAATATCAAAATCAGTAAACCACATGGTTCAATAACAAAGAAAGAGATACTGCAATATTGGAAAGAAGGGAAACGTGCCTAAAATGTAACTCTTCATACACGTGCATTATAAAGAAATCATTCAAAATGTTTATCACGAAGTTGACGAGCTTCAAACTCTCGACAATGTCCATAAAGCTTCATTGTTCCAGTCCATATTGATGACCACCACCAGAAGATCCTGCTTTGGAACTTATGCGCAGGTTGAACTCGAAAATTCACCATGACAAGATTCCACTATCCGAAGACCTTAATGTCTCATCTTCTGACAAAAATGACAAAATTACTTTATTTCCATGAAATCTCTAATCATATTTCCCAGGTTAGAGCATATAACATTGGTATCATGTTAAAACATGCTTCACAAGATTTCCCACCTCCACATGATCTTGAATTTATTTACCCTAGATAATCATAAATTCAACATAGATGATAAACTCATAGACTGCCTATAAATGGATGAATCTATGAATCACAAAATATTACAGCGTCACCGGGATGAATGCCAAATCTTTAAAAGCATAGGTATGTGTACCGCAAGGAGCAAAGATTTCCTTACAAGTAACATATTCATCCACGCACTCAAATGTTACGTGCAGAACATGTTCATCTCATCAACGACCGCACACATGCTATGTCCAAGATTCCTGGCCCCCATATTGTGGCTGGATATCCTCAGGATTCCTCGAACCCAGGGCACTCAATATTGTCGACGACATATTCGTGAAATTTCTTTGAGTAATGAGCATTAAACTTAATTTCGTTTTACTAACGGAAAGCAAAATCTCCACAACGCAAACAAGAAAAAAATCCTTAAGGGTTTCATCTTTCACCAGAAAAGAAATTCGTGCACCATTACTTGAAAATGAAAGGCAATGGAATGTCAATAAAGAAATGTGAAGTAAACTCGAAGGAAAGACTGTTTCTCATCTTCAAAGACAGTCTGAACTACCGAGATTTTCCCTGGCTGATTTAATCTTAGTTCACTTACGGATAAATCTCATCAGAATCACACGATAGATAAAAAAAAAACAGTTACAATTTTCATGTAAATTTAAGACGTAATGTGTGTGAACCGAAATTGTCTGCAATACGTCATATCAGCACTTCCCGTTTACTATCAGAGAATAGCAGAAACAATACACACATGAAAGGTCCTGGAGTGAAGACTCTGGATAATAACTTACAGTAAAATTCTCACACTCGTATATATGCAAATATGTAATAGGCAGAGACCATCTAGCGGTCCTTGTTGAAGGAAAATTCCTGAACAGGTCTCTTCCAAAAAACCCATGTCCTCTCTCATCATCCAAATTAATATCACTGAGCCCGACGTCCTCTGGACGAATTGAATCTGCACAGTTTGAGTTACATTCAAACATATCAAGGACCTAATACGAATCTGACTTGAAGTACAGAAACTAGGCTTCATAAAACTGAGACAAACTGATAAATAGAAAAACTGACAATAAAAATATTTCTCAGACATCTGCGGAATCAACCATTAAATGGAAGGAAAAAACTAATTATAAAGGTACTCAAAATGGAAATAAATCGTGAATGCAGAGTCCAGTCAACATACAGTCATAGAGTAGAAATATATTTGCGAATATCGCTCCTTAAATAGTGTTGATATTCCTCCTGTTTCCATCTTCGGACGAGGAGAAAAAGGATGAAGATTTCTGTGGATATAATGGATAAGTCTGAAGAATGGGACAAGGAGTCGATACCTCATCTCTAAATGTGAGAGCAAGGCAGAGAGACGTACCCAGTTCCCAGTTGGTACCCGACAAATTTATCGAACTGTGTCCTTGTACGTGTAATTGCTGGGGGGCAGTGAAGAGTGAAGCAAAATAATACATGCGCTTTTCCAGGAGTGGCTAACTTGGTTGTTTAGTAACTTGGTTCCTTCCCAAGGTCGAAGGTTTGACATCCGACAGCATGCGTCTCACAAGTCATGAAAGTAGTTCAAATGGTTTGGGTCTGCTCCCCGACGGCATGGACTTCTTTTTCCCCCACTACGGCGGAAACCGACCGAAACTCGGAGGCCTACCCATGCGCAACCGAAACCAACACGCGGCTCATCAGAAAATCTGAATTTGACGGGTCTAGTAATAAACTACATCTGGTGAAAGCTAGCAAGCTCACATTCGCATCTACGCTAATTATTTAGGACAGAATTCACCAAAAAGAGGGATGGAGTTATGCAGGAGAGACAAAGAAGCAAACGGACTGCTGAAATCTCATGTGATTGCATGCACACAAAACTCAAAACATTCAATGGAGGGGGAGTACCCATGAGAGTGGTTATCCTCCGAATTTCCAGGGGAGAAGCGACGGTGCCGGAGGACACAAAGGTCTTCCTGCAGAGCTCGTAGAGGGCCTGGACGGGTGACCCCTTCGGCATTGCGGGCCTCGCGAGATGAATCCCTGCTCCCTCCACCTGCGTCCGTCCCCTTCCCCCTCAGCCACAGGAGGCGAGTGGCCGGAGGTGATATAGATTTCCATTCACGGGCTATTCACTTAGTTGGCCGACCCCTTGGATCGTTCATATTTATAAAAATTCTCTCATTTCGTTATTTCTCGAAATTCCGGGCAAGTAGGGGAGGAAAACTGACCTGGGCCACTTTTGTCCATGTGGATATTGCCAGGTGGCTCTCTCTCTCTTCTCCTCTCTCTGAGGTGATAGAGTTCGAGGGTCATTAAGATTCCTCGGTCTTTTACCATATCTGGCAACCATAGCACCAACAAAGAGTAACACATTCTCTCTCTCTCTCACTTCTTCTTAAAGACCTCAACATACGGCCTCACCACGGAGCCGATCCACAGCTCCCCACTCCGCGTCTCCACCACCTCGCTAACCGCCCCCACGGCGGCGCAGTCCTCCACCACCTCCAACACCCTCCCTTCCTCCCCCAGCCTCGCTGCCACCGGACACCCCTCCGCCCCTTTCTGCAGCCTTCCCATGTTGATCCCCACCCAGTATCCCCCCTCTTCTGCAGCCCTCCTCCTTATGTTGTCCGGGTACCCCGGAAGCTCCGCGAACACCTCCGCCCTCCCGGCGGCGCGGCCGCGCAGCCAGTACCTCAGCACCCTGCACCTGGTGGTCTCCGCCACGAGCACGAAGGCGCCGCCCCCGCCGAGGGCCACGCCGTTGGGGAAGGCCAAGCCCCGCAGCAGCACCCGCGGCGGCGCCGCCGATGCCTCCCGGTAGCTCAGTAGCCTCCCCGTGGTGTCTCCGGAGAGGACGGCCAGCGCGTGGTCCCTGATGCCGAAGCGGGCGCTGCTGTCGGTGAAGTAGACGGCACCGGTCTCCTGGTCGACGTCGACGGCGTTGGCGAACCGGAAGGGGCGGTCCTCCGCACCGGCCGCCACCTGCGCCGCCACTCCTCCCTCCGGGCCGACGGCCAGCAGGCCGTAGAAGGCGTCGGCGATGTACAGACGCCCCGTGGCGTGGTGGAACTGCAGGCCCAGCGGCCTCCCACAGATGCTCGTCGGCTGGAAGAAGCCGGACCCGTTGCATGCGCCCTCCCTGTCCACCGCAGAGGAAGAAGGTTACGCTATGTATGGTACGGAAACCTCCGATTTTTACGTGGGCTCGCTAGCTAGCTGGCTCAATCACCCGTACGGCGCCCGCGGGGGGACGGCGAAGGGAGACCAACGGCGACGCTGGGGGCTCCACTTGAGGATGCGCCCGTCGACGACGCCGGTGTAGGGGCCGCCGCCGGCGCGGTCGAAGGCGAGGCTCTCGGGACCGGAGGCCGTTGGCCCCAGCAGAAGAACCTCACGAGCCACCGATCCCGCCGTCGCCCGAGAAGGAGACGACAAGCTGGCGAGGGTGAGTACTAACAGCAGCAGGGCCATTGCGTCCGCAACTCTTCCGGTGGTTTGCCGGAGTTCGCCCGCCATTTAACTGGGCCCGAACGAAGCAGGGGAGGCGGACAAGGCAGGGTGACGACGCTAGGGTGGCTGGGGAGGCGTCCTCCGCCCCGTTACCTTCCCCGTCCGGTTGCGCCGCCGTGGCGGAGCTGCAGGCAGGTGGCTGGCGGTAGTTAATTTACGTCGAATGATGGGTCGGGTCGCCGTTGGAGCTCGCACCGGCGGACCGAACCGCCGCTTCTGAGCATTAACGCTTCCTTCTGCCGCTGCGATCTCAAGGATTAGAAGACATTACAGGAAAGAAAATAATCATTAAATGTACTCATGAAGATCGTTCTCAGTCAACCGCCCTCCCCCTCTCTCTCTCTCTAATCAACACCAGTCAAACGCTATGAAAGAGTAAGAAACGAGTCACGAGCCTACAGATTCAAACATGGCGAGAGCATTGCTGTGAAAGAATGTTATTATTGTTTGATGGGTAACTGCAGTAATTATCGGAAAGCCAAGATCTTGGCGGGTTCTTAGTTTCTCCTCTCTCTCTATCTCTCTCTCTCCCCCCTAAGGGTTGGAGTTAATCCTCTCGAAGAAGTAAAGGTATCCCATATCCTTTGGGGGGTTGACCGAGGCCCCCACCTTGGTGTCATTGAAGATCACCCATCTTCCGTCCTTGTGGACGTGCGCCACGTAGTGCCCGCAGTGCGTGGATGTGCCGATGTGGCTGACCAGGGCCATCAGCCGGTACCCTGTTCCCACCCAAGAAGGGAAAAGGCGTAAGTAAAGCATTCATTCAAACCATATAAATATTTATAATTATAATCAATTGAACGAGAATCCGCAAAACAAAAGGTTGTAGATACGAACTCCCGCCGCCGTCTGGTAGTTCTGTGTCCTGTGGCGACTGCCCACTGCTAGAAGTGGCCTCCATGTCTCCTGAGCTTGAAGCGTCTGGGTTGCTAAAGATCCAGTCCATAGCCTTCTCAATATCCCCGCCCTGTGGGAGTGAAATCAGTCGGCCATTAATTTCCAGATAAAGCACACAGTAAAAGAATGAAGAAGATCAATTACCCAAACTGGATAGTAACAGGATCTTACCGAAGCCTTCAATGCTTTCCGAGCCATTTCTTCCGGGAACCCGAAAGAAATCACGGTTTCCACGCTCGATTCATCGACAGGCTGAAGATTAGGGTTCCTGGGCTCGTCCGGAAGAGGGTCGTTGATATCTGGGAGAGAGACCGAAAAGGTAATCCTTTTTTATGCAGCTAGTTACCAACGACTTGGGTGTATGAACACTTGTTTCTGAGATTAACAAACCTGGATCATCCATGTGAGAAAGCAACCAAGTCATGGCTTCTTCTACTCCAACGTTTGACGTATTGATAGCAGCTTTCTGACAATGGAAGTAGTTAAATCCCATGTCAGCGAGCTTGGAAACAATATCCTCATTGGCAACGGGTTTGGCGGCTGCTTCTGATTCGTGGCCAGTAGACACTGTAGACAACATTCAACATGCAATCTCAAGATACAACAGAAGAGAGGAACATGGAATTTTTCCAAGGAAAGGAAAAAAATAATGGGTTCATCAGCTTAATCAGAATCTCCTACCAGATTCTGGTAGTAGTTCTTCCCCGGGTTGCATGCCCTTGCTGCGCATGTGGGTAATGTCGATAGTATCTGGTACATCTATGTACACATCTGAAAAAAAATTCAAGAAGATGGATGACATTTAGAGGTTAAGGACAACTTGAAATCCATATAAAATTCTAACGTCGTGGGGGAAAATAAATTTGGATTCCAAACATAGTGATTAATGGTGAAAATATGGATTTACCGAGTTTTTTAGGCACCCAGCCTTCCTCCATTACGAACTTTCGCATGTGTAGCACTAAGTAATCAGGGAAGGTCCGGAAGCCGGCGGTTCTGTCAGAAGATATAAGTCAGACACATGCGCTCTACATCAGGTCAGCATTCTGGTTACTAAAGTCAACTCAACAGTTTCGTTTTCCAGTCGTTCAAAGAGGTATGCGCAACCATGTCCATGTTCTTGGAATAGATTATTATGAATCGAGAAACACCGCTTATGGATTTCATTACATGAGAGTAGATTCCCTGAATCAATAGAATTTACGGCAGAAGATGAACAACACTGATCTAGATAAAGGTAGATTCTTTTCCATTAAAGGCATCCAAGGTCTTACAGCTCATATAGGAAAAAATAAATGGAAAATTCCACGAGTGATATAATGGAATAGCGAATTTCAGGTCACAACTCTGTACCAATGTTCAAACTTACTTGATTGCTGTTGTCTTCGCATTCAATGCAGTGCTGTAAAAATCGTGTATCTCCTCTGGAGCTGAAAAGGTTGCAAGGCATGCATCTAAAGGCACCCTCGGGCGAACAATATCTTCAGATGCACTGCTAGATCCCGTTCTCATAAGTACTACATTTAAAAAAAAATAAAAATAGGAGATAAGAGTTGAGCAACTTACATTTCTTTCCCTTCCAATTTTCCTTCTTCCCTCAGTCTATGAAATGCTTCAAGCTCCTCTGGATAGCATGCATTAAAATCATTCTGAATTAGCAATATGGAAGGAAATACTCCATTCTACCCTAGTTGGTTTGAAGACACAAGCTATGTTTCCAGAAAAGCGCTTGCGGCCAACAACAAAAAATGCAACATGAATACATGTAAAGATCAAAGAGGACATATGACATGGGCATACCTCTATTGCTTGCTTCGTGTAATGGTATATTAAGAGAAAGAATGTAGTCACTTCTTTTATTATAAGCAATCTTCCCAGATGGGCATTGTAGCCGCTCTTCAATGCAGAACTTGAAACACCTTGAAGGATCGGATTCAGGTTTTCCAGCATTGGACCGCTCCACTTGATCAAGTAAATGCAGAAAATACTCCAGCGCATCCTACAAGAAAAACGAAATTAAATGCCCGAAAAGCAATGTAAAAAAATGTAATTAACCAAATAGAGAACAAGAAACATGCTAATCCCAATAAAAAAGTAGCTAGCCAAGTATCGGTAAAATAAATGAGAGCACTGAGAAAATCACGTAATGTAAGCGCAGCCAGCTGAGTACCTGCTGCCGCATGGTTGAAAATTCAGGATGATTAGCAGCAATGACGGCCTTGAACATTCGAGGAGGTATTCCATCTTGCTTCTGGGGTGTTCAGAAAAAAAGGTTAATATGAAAAAGAAAAAGAAAAATAAAAAGTGGATAACAACAAATAACTTCATGTGGCCCTGAAAATTTGCATATGATAAATGAAGATAATAAATATCCAGTAGTGACGGTCAAAAATAGGTTTTTGCGCAACAGAGCAACAACAATAAGAAATATATTGAGATTCATAATAAGGACGTCGTCAACAACAGGCTTTGTGCACAGTTCATGGAATGGGTAAAATATTTTCAGACATTTTCGGTGGCCCAACCGGCGCATGACAGACTAATAGAAGGAACACTAATCCTAGAACCAAAACAAAACCACCGAAATGGACCAAAAATATTTTCATTGGAGAGTCAAAGAGCACCACATTTCCAAAAACAAAAAACAAAAAAAAAAATACGTAGCATTTTCACACGCAAATAACTCACGTCAAATGCAGAGAGGTTACATAAAAAGTACCATTTTCTCATCGCAGCCATAGCAGATTATCTTCAACCTCTCGATACTCGTTTTCTTTTTAAGGTAACCCCACCTTCCACCTGACATCAACCTATTTCATCTCCGTTGAATACATCAAAATGAATAATTGAATAAATGTGTTCTCATTCTACCAAACTTTCCCCACAAAATGATATTATCTAGTCTTAAGGCAATCTATAACCAAAGTCCTTTCTTAGAGGTTGTCACAATGTAGAACAATTTTGTATCCTTATTTGGCAACTTGCATCTAAGGCTGTTCTTCAACCAGGGAGATGCAGTGGTTGAATCTGGTTCATAAGACCACGATGAAGGGAAAGAGAACAGCAAAGCAGCCCACAAAGAGTCTTTGATATAAAGTTTTATGCCTTCCTGTGGGCTACAGTTATTTGGCTATATCGAGGGAGATCCTTTTTTTACCAGAGAATAATGAATTACGGAGGATTCTTCCTGTATAATGCCATGTTAAACCAACAAATTTTAAAATCCAAAATAGTTAACAGTGACAGGAAGATGTAAGAGCCAGACCCATACCACACACACACACACACACACACACACACACACACATATATATATATATAGATAGATAAGATAGATATATAGTGATAATGGGTATATTCACTGAGGCGAAATAAAAAAGGATTTTCCTAGCCAGAAAATAAAATTACTCTTTGAAGTCCAGTGGGCTTGTAAAAAAGAACTCGCCAAATTCAGTTTCACACATAAAAATGGTATGGTAATATCAACTACAGCTATCGACACAGCCAAATCCAGAAGAAGGAAAAATTGAAATCAGCATGACTTACAGCGTCTGAATCTGAGCCGGTTATATTTCCAAGTTCATCTGTCTGGTTATACATGAAAGTATCAAGCCACATGAGGAATAATAAATTTGATTGAATACAGGATACAGATGCTGTACCTCTCGTACAGGAAATGAGTATCTACCCGATAGCAAGCCATGGCCCAGTTTTGCCCTATACGAAAATGGGTCAAGTCAAACAGCACAGTGCATTCTCCGGATACAAATCAACAAAAACAAGGCAAGGCCGTAAAACAAAGCAGAAACCAGTCAACTCCATTGAATCTTTAGTTCCCCATATACCTCTGTCATGCTTACAACTCTCTGGAATTGCTGCAGAAACTATGAAGACCTACTCATCAAATTTAACTGAGATTATCAAAAAAACATAATAAAGGTCTTAAGTACAAATTGACCCTTGTTATTTATCTATCCCTACGACCGTGATGCCCCCCCTTCAACTTCCTCTCCATTCCCATATTCTCTGACTTGCAGTGCTTTTCTCTATTTTAAGTTCAAGATGAGATAGAGTTCTGCCTTAAAGCGAATACAGAGTGCTTGACTGACTCTAGGAACCATGCTTCGAGGAGAGATCTCTTTTGCGAGCGTAAAAAAGAGACAATATTTGATCCTCATGCGAATTCAGGCCAGGTTATTACCCACAGATCCTTTTATGTGCATTATTACTTAATAACATATCTTCAAAGAAATGAGTTATGGGTAGCATTCTGGCGTACTGGCGAAAAATGACTGGCCTTCCAAAAGCCATAACACTCCACCAGCTGAGAGACCTTGTTGAATATACTACACCAAGGTTGGAAATTGAGGTAGACTTGGGCCAACACATTATGATCTAGGATTGACCTCTCTGGACACACACCCCATTAATCACGGAACAACAAAGCGACCAGATTGGAGACACTTAAATGGCTAGAAATGGGGGATTTGAAATGGCTTGTGATGGACATAATACGGTGTCAAAAGTTAAGCAGAATGATTACACCATTAGGCTGCCTTTAATATCAGGGAAAGATTGGAGACACTTAAATCGGGCCCAGTAAACTCAAATTGTTTGACTTGAGCGGACGAAATGTTGATTACAAATTTAAAAGTGCTTCAAGCACAAAAAGTCAAAGCACTGTGAACAGCTAAGAAGAAAAATCATCATATGTGCCTATTTTCAAGGAGAAGAGATGGTTACTCACAGTTGTGTATTCAAATCTACAGTTGGATCCGAAGGAGCTGTTTTAAATGCTAACTCCAGGCTCTGCTTTTCATGATATCTGAAATTAAAATAAAATAAAATGGTAATATCAGATGAAATATATCAAGGTAGTATACGGGCTACTTGCAAATGCTGATTACAAAAACTAACCGTGTACAGAAGGCATGTGTCGAGAAGATAACTTGCATGGTTGACGCCAAATAACAACTAAGCAAAGTGAAGAAAGATGGAGAAAGTGTTATGCCGTATCAACGACCACAATAAACAAGTTTGTAAAATGAGAGACTAATCAAACTACCTATTCCCAAGATTAACCAGTCCTGTATATCCAGGTCCAAATAAGGGTTCAACTTCTTGTCCACTTTCTTGTATCCGGTTCCAATCAAAATTAGTATTTTGGTCGAGTTCTCTTTCAGCAGTAGTCATTTCAGTCTAAAAGGATATGCAAAAATCAGTTCATCGACTATCATAGCATAAATGTGGAAGATAATACAAACATCTAAGAAATAGAGGGTGGTGATATAAAACTGAAGAAAAGAATGTATACATTAATAAAAGATTCTAAGACCCAACACACCTCACATTCTTTGAAATTAAACCCATATCAAAACATTACAAAATACTGTCTTGGCTTGGCTCGACTTTGAAAAGTTCATGTGAAGTTATAATCCTGAACATGCTCAAAGAAAAAATGTAGCAACTTTTCTAATCGACAGATGCTCCAAGAAGTATCATTCATACATGGTTTTTTTTGGGGGCAAATAGTAGTTTTCCATGATCATAAACCAACAAGATTTTAAACCATGCTATGTTATCCTTAAAATGGGAGATGCTAAAATGGGATTGGCAATAAGCTGGGCTGGCTCAAGAACCAACCAACTCAGTTAGATTCGCTCTATCTCGACTCAGTCAGCCAAACGAGACAAATCCGGAACACGACTTGTTCGTCAAAATGACCTGAACCCAGCAATGATTAACTTTTTTTAAGCCAAGGCATTGAATTGATTATTTTTGTAATATTTACTTTTACAACATAAAATTTTCAAAAAAAATTGAGAGGTTTAAAAAACATCTTAGAATTGGAAAAGTCATAATATTATGCGACTCACCAATTTCTTGGTCATGCGAAAGCAAATAAATGATACTTTTTTTAAAAAAACAACAATTCCAACTAGAGGCATATGGAAGATGGTCAAGGGGCCTCAAAAGGTAATGAGAAATTCCAATGGACGTCCAAGTGGAATCGAGACCGGACATATGGACACTAGTAACATTTTTTTGTTGATTATTTCAAGATTCTAACAGTCAAGTCATCAACCACTTTTTTTTTTGGGCACCAGAGGAGGGTCCAGTGAACCATGGGCATGAATTTTGTTCCTATATACATATATTTACATACACACATAGATGTGTGAACAGTATAAGCAACTTCTGTTCAACCCTCCCCCATCACTCATGACCCTTTTCTAGGTCAGTGGACATGAACTACACATGCTCCCAGCTCCTAACTATACCGTTTAGCTTAGCAGTTTCCAGTTGCCTATCTATACTCTTATCATAAATTGAGATAACGACAAGAAAGAATATGTGGACATGAGCAACCAACGAATACTTAAATCGCCAAAAGTTTTCACAGTTCATCTTTACTTTGTAAATTCATTAATCATTGAAAACTTTCAGGATCAAATGTATTAAACCATAAAAATGTTACCTTTTGCAATGATGAAAAATCGATCCCAAAAAATGCTAAATGTTGCGCTAGTAATGGATCCTCAACAGTATCGTCCTCCGGGTAAGAGAAAACATCTGAGCTGTCACAAGAAGTCAGAAAAGATTATTATCACATTAAGCAACTTGCCGTCCTGAACATGCATCCAAAACCTGTTTCAGGTAATAGGAAGACTAAATGATACAATTAAAAGAAAAATCCACAAGTGGTATCGATAGTCTGATATTTTTTGACAAATTTATCTACAATCTTTTCATAAAGTGGATAGATCACACAACTTAACATAAGAACCTAAAGAAACGATGAGGATAAACTCCTGAATTAATTAGTTCCTACTTTCGGTGAGCTCACAAACATTTACATAACTATCGCACTCAGAAAGTGCAGAACCATAACTTTCAGCTTTTAATATCAAAAATGCTCAATCGCGTGATTATTACATACGACAAGATAATGCTCAAAAAAGGCCTAAATCAGAGTACATACGACATCATTGAGGAAAAATATTACCTGCACTTTCCAAATCAGCAGTAATAGTTCCAAGTTTTACAGCAAGAGGATATTTTGTGGCAAGATAATGCTCAATCGCGTGATTATTGCCTCCACTACCATCCCAATTTTTCCTCCCACACAGGATCATTCCATCAGTTAAGTTAAGCCAGAGGTTTTCAGTTTTATCACAGTGCCGGCACTTCCATCCCGATGGAGGAATAACAACACCACTTTTAATCTGCTGCAGATTCATAGCAAATGCACTGACTTGTTTCTTATCTGCTGTCCAGGATGATAGTTGCTCTTTGCGTTCAGCGCCTTCAGCCATCAAAATAGTATCGACTGCCAATCTGACCTGAAAAGTAAACAATATAAAATTTAAAAATGTCCATATTGAAACAAAATCGCACAGATATGTTTAGTACATCTCTGACAATATTACAATCCCAAAGCCAAATACCTTTTCTGGCAACTCAACCGATGGAAATGGAAGGGACACATGCTCTGGCAATATTACAATATTGTGAGTTTCTTCATATTCAGCTTCTTGATTGTCAAAACCTCCATCAACACCTGCACATCACAATGAATTCGTGAAAAAAAAAAAATTATAGCAAATAATTGACGACATATATTAAAAGACTTTAAAGAAAAAAAGTTGAAATTAACAGTCATTTATCATCAAGAGAGGCAAATGATTTTATGGAGCATTTTTTTAGGGAATATAATAAAATAACTTCGAATAGAATTAGTCCCAGTAACCTCCACATGCAACTGATACTGCTGATTCACCAAGTGACAAGGTGCTCACCCTAATGATTACATATCAGAATCCATATTTTTTTAATCCAAACTGATTCGGTCAACCAAATACACGAATCTCAACCAGGATTGACAGATTTGCACCATGTACACTGAGTAGAAGTAGTAGTTTGATGTAAACGAGAAACAGCAGCAGCAACAGGGAGGAGAACTAGAAAAAGATGTTTGTGATGGAGCAAAATCGTTCCCTTGTACTTGCAAAGGAAGGAGAACTAGTAGCGATTGATAGTTTGTACTCGCAAACGATTCCACCACTTTACATGTAACATTATGAGGTTACATCAGGGCTACTCTTTTGATTTTCTGCTATGCTTTACATTACCAGTAGCGACTGCTCTACTTGCAAATGATTCCACCACCACATATGATACGTTATCAAGGTCGCATTAGAATTTCCCCCTCCCATTTGATATTTCTGCAATGCTTTAACCTACTAGCGGCGACTGTTACTTCGCACTTGCAAAAGATGCCACCACTCTACATCTAGCATCTTACTTCCTCTAAGAACCTTTAGTGATCATGTATTCAAGAAGAGTCTGCACATCTCTTCCACACATTCCAACGCGTAAGTTCATATTTTCAGGCAATTTTTTGATGTTACATTTCTAAAAACATTGTGACATTATAATAATGTGTCCCCATTGTTTGTCTACCACTTATCGCACGAGAAGAATTCAGGTGTCTTTGTCTTCGTCGCCTAAGAAACTTAGATCCTCCTTTCAGTTTACAATTCGTTAAGAATAAACTATCGGGGGGCGTTTCACACAGCCGAACGAAATGTCAAACTCCGCCATACACAATCGAAAGAGATTTCAACGTCAACAATGTGCATGGATACGAACCGATGGCGAGTAGAGTGGGCTTCTTCAGAGGTCGATCTTCAGGAACGGCCTTGCGGCGCTGCTGAATGTGCAGATAAACCGGATTACCGGACTTTTCGTAATTCCACTGCACGTAATCCTTCCCAAACGCCAAGAACGAGCACATGTCCACGTACAGACCGCCCTCTGACCTCTGCAGAGAAGAGAACCACCACTCCCCACTCAAAGCGTTCAGAAAGGGGGGCACAACAAGAAAAAAAAAAGGGGGGGTGGGTGGTGGTGGCAAGCACGCAGAGACAGAGACAGAGAGAAACTACCGGCGTGTCAAAAGAGATGCAGCATTCCTGCTTGTATATCCGGTTGGTAGGCTCAGGGATCCGAACCCTAGAAAGGTGAGACCGCAGCAGCTCCATTGGCGAGTGCAGGGGCCGCAGGTCACTAGGGTTTCTCCGCCGGAAGAGGAGAAGAATGGGGAAGATTTGAGCCTACACTGCCTTGCTTCAAGCCCACGTCGTCTTCGAACCTTCCTCCGCCCCACGCTGCGGTGGAAACCGACGGATATTTATAGATGCATAGAGGGCGGACTGATGAAAACCCGATCCAAATGAGAGAAGAGAGAGAGAGAGAGAGAGAGAGAGAGGACTTTCGTCACTACGTTTGCTAGAACGTCGAGCTCAACTACCACGGTGCGTGACGTAGAATGCTTTCTCGGAAAAAGCTCATTCTGGCAACGGCACTTCGGTAAGTCGGTCAGCGGTTTCCTGAGGTGAGGGGGAATTAAATACTTAATAAGAACTATAAATATAATATAATAACTATATATTTTAATGCCAATATGTTATAGCATGGAAAATATAATTAAATACATTTGTATTGTGAGATTTGTTAATTAATTCACCTTAGGTCTGACGTTTCCATTGCCGAGGAAGCCTTCCCAGAATGGCTTCCTAGAATGGCTTTGAGAAAGCTGAGTGGGAGCAAGGCGTAAAACCTCCTCTTCCCCCTCACCAGACGGCGGGGTTTTGCTCTCCGGCTCCCTCTTCTTCTCCCCCGACCTCGCCGGCGTTGTGGAAGTTGGTTGGGGGAGCTGTGGTCCTTCTCCGGCAAGCCTCATCGGGTATGTCTCTTCTCCCATTTCCTCTTGCCTGCTTCCTTTTCTAGTCTGTTCGTTGAACCACTGGCCGGAAAGAGGATTGGGAGGGACTCGGTTCCGCTGCATTCTTTCCCTCTCGCTATTTCTTATCGTATGTTCTTGCTCATTTTCTCGTGTTCGCGGTGGGGGAAGACTGCAATCTGTCGTGGGAGTTGACGTTGAACTTTCTCCCGTGGTTATTACGTTCTAGTTTGATCCCAGTGCAGCTAGTGAGAACAGAACATGGGATCGGTTGCTGGGAACTTCGTCAAGTGTTTCAGACAATCTGCAGGTAGAGCTTCTTCGTTAGGTGAGCTTCTTCCTGCACCGATATTTCTTTCTTCATCTATCAGTTTTCCTTGGTCATGCCTTTTTTAGTTGTGTTCAGAACCAAAGCGAGCTCCGAACCGGAGAAACACTAGTGTCCCGTCGATGAGCTTTTGCATTTTTCTTCCCCTCATAAGTTCCAGGCATTACTCGTCCGTCTCGGTCATGGTGTTCAAAGATTTCATTTGAGGAGTTTGAGCAGAGTAATGTAATTGAGGACGATGATTTCTTACCCGCAAAGTCTGAATTAGAGCCACAGGGAGTGGATCCTAAAAGGGGATGGAATTTCCGAGGAGTGCACAAGGTATGCTCTCGTCTAGGAGAAGTGTTCCAATGTTTAATCCAACATAACCTGCACTTTATTATTGAATTGTCTACTTCATTGTTTGATGAAGGAAGCTTCTGATTGCTATGCAGGCAATTATTTGTGGTAGAATTGGGCAGGCTCCCATACAGAAGATCCTGAGGAACGGGAAGACTGTGACCATTTTTACAGTAGGAACTGGGGGTATGTTCGATCAGAGAATTATTGGCTCTGAGAATCTTCCAAAGCCTGCTCAGTGGCATCGAATTGCTGTTCACAATGAGCAACTTGGGGCATATGCTGTTCAACAACTTTCAAAGGAGTAAGCCTAGATACTCGTGATAGACTGATTAATATATAAGTCCTCAAATAGTATTCCCCTTTTATTTTCTTTCATTATTCACTTGCCTTTTCTGTTATGTGATGTGTGTGTTTCTTCAGCTCACCTGTTTATGTCGAGGGGGACATCGAAACCAGAGTCTACAATGACAGCATTAATGGTCAAATTAAAAACATTCCAGAAATATGTGTGCGTCGTGATGGTATGTGATGTTTTCTCAATTCATTTCCTGATGTGGTCTCTTGCTCAATATTTCTCTTGCTGTTCGGGTTTCCTATGCTCTATCCAAATATTTTCATTTTTCCACAAGTTATTTCTTATATTTTTATCTCTCTTCATTGTACATTGTTCCACCTGATTAGGGTATCCTAAGTAATAACTGTATTGCTGGACAATTATTTTCTCCCGTATACTCTTCATTATGCACTGAAATTCCCTCAGCCTTTTCCCTGTCCTAGATCCTATGGGTCTCCATCTGGCCTTCATTTTATTGTTATTTTCCTGCGTTCCATTAGTTTTCTCAAGTTTTCCCCAAGCTTTCAGCTTTCAGCTTTCTGAAGAAGAAAATCCTCATCATCGCCCTTTATGGTACAACCTGTCGTTCGCTTTGGCCTGTTTAATGGCAACTGAGGGATTGTCTAGTTCTGTTAAGATTTAGAATTATGGGTGAAGGCATTCCACTGTATACTACAACTCCAACCAGAATCAAATATTATGTAAATTTACTGAACTGCTTTCATTAACGTTTTTTTTTTTCCACTTGGGTGTGATATGTTATATCTATTGAAACGACTTGAATATTTTCTCTACTCCCAATTTTTTCCTTTTTCCGTGTCCCATCTTGTGGTTGTTTTTCTCTTATTCGCACGTCAGCATACAAAGAATATTCTATTTTTATTTTTTTCATTTAAATTCGTATTAAAATAACCTCAAAAAATTATTTGTATAAGATCTTTCTGCATCCTTGGGCGAACCAAAAGTGATTGCCTTGCACTTAATATATCAAAAGATGATTTTTTTTCATTTTTTATACTGATTTTACAGTTTATTCAGGACTAAATATTTTACGAGAGCAGAATGTTTAATTCAGTCTTTAAGAGACTTCATACTTCCATAGTAGGCCATCTAGTCAGATGGGAACTTTAGGAAAAGATGAAATGCCAATACCAGCGCCACATTGGACGAGCAATCCCTGGTACTGCTATGAAATGATGGTCCTAACTCACATATTTTTTATGAGAAGCCACGAAAGCCGCTGTAGTTCTGAAAAAATCACCAGTGCCATTATTTTACATGATATAAGGTTAGATTTGACCTGATTTTAGTTCTCTGTAGCAACTTATCCTTGCGTTTTTGTCCTGTCTAGGCAAAGTTCAACGGATAAAAACTGGAGAAAGTATTTCCAGTATTTCCTTGGATGAATTAAGTAAGCAGTGTTCTTATTCTTGGCTCTCTCTCTCTCTCTCTCTCTCTCTCTCTCTCTCTCTCTCTCTCTCCTCATGTTTAGGAATGTCTGAATGATGGTTTCGTATTTTCTTGCAGAGGATGGGTTATTTTGAAGAATTTTCCTCGGTGGGAATCATGATAGAAAACGAAGAGTTCATGCTTATTGACATTCGCAGATGTTCTTTAATAGTTAATAGCTCAGCTAGGAGAAAACATTTTCTGCTGATATTCTGTTGACTTTGGTGCCGGATATCGAGTCACTTAAACTGCTCCTATGTAGCCTCTGGCATTCCCGAAATATCGTCAGATTTCAGTGGATTTGTCTCAAGAAATCCATTCTTTCTGTATTTCTCAAGTGACTGCGTACTCCAACCTTCCCAAATGTGGTATGTTGGAAGAATATTGATGAAAGAAATTAATCCACGAATTTACCATGTCAAAACTTGTTTGATTATTTATCCGATCTGATCTGGTCTGGGCTGGGCTTGTTGGCCCTACAACTCTCCCCATCTTCATGCAATTTGGATTAATTTGAATCGAATGAAAATGTCATATTATCAGATCGAACGATGGGAACAACCAAGATTTTCTCAGATAAATACATGTTCAAGAAGAAATTATCTTGTATTTTTTAATTAATACCGTCCCCCTAATATGTGCTGATTAAATGTCAAACGTTTTGAGAAATGGTATACTTTTCATTGCGTAGAAAGATTTTTATTTATTTTTGGCAAAATCTCTGCAATAATCGGTGCTACATAGTGTTGTTGTTTTTTCTCTCATCAGGTGAAAACATCTTCTAAATAAATAATTCGTAAAATAGTATGAATATTTTACTTCATAGTTATTTCCATGTTTTCTGGTAAAATTTTAGAATAATCATTTATGAAAAAATAAATGCGTACATTGGGATGATAACATAGCTAAAGTCAACGGGGTATAGAGTAGGCCGAGATACAACCTCCCCCCCTCCCACCTAAGTTCCTGTTATTGGGCCTTTTGACATCTGGGCCGATGGACACGTGTTTGAAATCCAATAATTACTTGACGGTCCATCCCATGACTGAAACCCTTCGTCTGCCTTTCTGGCTAAAACCCTAAGCTTGAGCCCTGCCATCGACGGCCTGGAAACCCTACTCTTCCCTTCTCTCTCTCTCTCTCTCTGGGTCGATTGGAGGAAGGAAAGCAGCTGCAGGGGGAGGGGGAGAGAAAGGTCCAGGAAGGAGCTGTGAAGGCGCTGAGGGTATGGGGAGCGACAGCGAGACGGAGAAGTCCGTTAAGGACAAGAAGAAGATGATGGCGCTGGCGCCCATCTCCAAGCCCCTCGCTGGCAAGAAGCTGTGCAAGCGCACGCTAAAACTCGTCAGGAGAGGTAAGACTCGTCCCGTGGTATCTATTTGGCTGTGTTGTGGATTTAAATAGCTTATTTAAAGAAGGTTAGGAGGACGTGGGAGGGAGGGGGATTCGTTTCTGTGCTTACGACTGGCGGCGGAGGACCCTGAAACTAGCTGACTGGCGTCCGAGGGAATATGAGGGACGCGGCGAGGGATCCTGCCTTTTATTAACTTCCTACTTGACATTTTTCACTTTATTATCCGTGAGTATGATGATATTTTAATTTTTCTTGTTTAAATCCTTTCAGCTGCCGAGTCCAAATGCCTGAAGAGAGGTGTGAAGGAAGTGGTGAAAAGCATCCGACGGGGTCACAAGGGGTGGGCTTCCTCTATTCTCCCAAATTTCCTTTTCGTCTGACGAGGTCTTTCATATTATTATGTTATACTGATTCAACACTCATCCAAAGACTGGATGCTGGTATACACCTTTTCTAGCCCCTGGATAACCATGTATAAATAATCTACGCATTCTAATTGCTCTCCATGCCAGTGACAGTTTATCTTATCAGTGGGATCTCAGTTTTCTCTCCTTTTTATTTCGCTAACATCCCGAGCTTTCGACGACCTGTGTGTTTTCTTTTCCATGGAGCTTTGATTCATGCTGGTTCGCAAGCCCCACTAAAGTAAGAACAGTTCAAAACCAAAAATTTGTCTGCTTGAGTGATTAGACGGTATATATATACGCCAAGTGCAAGGATTAGCCCACGCTACTCGAAGAATTCAGAATTTGGCTGCCTGGCGATATCCTCCGAAGAGCAAAAGGGCTAATGTGACTTAACTTTTACGTTTTCCTGTGGAAATTAATGTACAGCTAAGATATTATATGTAGCTTTTGTTGGCTTTTGATCAGAGCAAATTCAGGAAGAAGGCTCTGATCGATTATACTGTTTCAGATTCGCTCTTCGTTTCTCAACAAGTACTTCTCTAAGAGGAAAGAGTCTGAAATTTCTTTTTCTATGGGTACAGACGGTTTTCGTCGGAATATTAGAGTATCATTCGTTCTTATTGTTACAAAAAAATCTATATCATCTTTGGTGATGATTTAATTTATAGCTTTAAAAAATTTAACATTTTGTTACCCTGCTCATCACCTAAAGACGTGCCAAATGGTTACATCACTTGTGACGATTTCTTCATAGAGAGAGCCAATCTGTCTCATTTGGTTTTAGCGTGCTTAATCCTTTTTAATGTTTTTTACTTACCCTCCTTTGATGCCGAGGAAATTAATTGTTTCTAAGAATAAATTTCCAAGCATCATTAGATCGCTTGCTCACCTAGTGACTTTCGCCTTTTTGAATGGAATTTATCCTGAGCTTTAAACATATAATGTTTTCATTGTTTTGTTCGACTTTCTCCATTCTCTGATGCTCAGAGGTGCGGATCCTCTTTTGGTCCAGCCAAAACTAGTCAAAATTGTCTTTATTGGAAAAAAATTCTGAGAAGATGGAGTTTTTGGCATTTATTTATCTCATAATGGGACTTCGAATCAGTCTTTCCGGTTTATATTATAAGATCCGTAATTATCATCACAGTTGTCTGATCCTTATTTTTTATGCATCTAATTTTGAGGGGCAGCTAGTCTTGAGCTCTGGTTAATTTATTGTTACTCAGGTTGTGTGTAATAGCTGGGAACATCTCTCCCATTGATGTGATTACACACGTCCCAATACTATGTGAGGAGGCCGACATCCCCTACGTTTACGTCCCTTCAAAGGAGGTGAACCTTTAGTTTTTCGGAAATTTTTGCCCGTATTATTTCTTTTATTTCTCTTCTGATCTTGCTGTACATCTGCTTCAGCAGATCCTTGAGACTATCCCTTTAGACATAATAATTACGGCTAAACACCCAGGGATGTGCATTAGTTGGGTAATCATGTTTATCATAGTGTTTCGAAAATTCATGTTTCTCTCGTTTCATTGTTTTCTCTCACTTTGATATGCTGTTTTTTATCTTCTGCGGTGAATCTTGAGAGCGGCCCTTTCACACGCTATAACTTTTGATAATCACCCAGGAATGTCTCTTAATTGGGATTACCATTATTTTAATCTCATCAAGTTAAATTTGGGATCTCATTAAGATAATTCAATGCCTAGAACATGAAAAATTCGATTTGGGTACTGCAGAAATCTAGGAAATTTTGATTTGCATGAGCACTCAAGTTCTAAATGTTTGAATTGAATATCTGGCTTCAGAGTTTATTCCCAAGCAGGTATCGTTGTTTCCCCTCTCGTCTAAATTCTTTCCCTTTGATAGCTCAGCGCCTAGAACAGGAACATTGATCCAGGCAGAACGAGAATCAAGCTGTGTGGATTTGGAAAGTTCCCACCTCACCTACTTTCGTGCGTTAACTTTTGGTGGGTTTTGGTTTTCCTCGGCACAGGATCTGGCCACTGCGGGGGCCACCAAGAGGCCCACCTGCTGCGTGCTGGTGATGACCAAGCCGGCCAAAGGGGAGCTTGCCCAGGAGGAGCAGGAGAAGCTGAAGTCGGACTACGCGCAGGTGGCATCAGAGGTGAAGGATCTCGCGTCCTCTCTGTACTGAGAACCTCCCTTCTTTCTCCTCCACTTGTCTTCCTCCTCTTGCTTGGAGGGTGTTGAGGTGATATCCAGTCGTTGTGTTAGATTCGAATGGAGGTTTTCAGATAAGTTTAACCGCCCTCTAAATATATTTAATTTCTGCATTGGAAGCCTGGCTTTTGATCTTCGAGTAAATATATGTTTATATATATGGACGTACCCTGGGGGGAAATTTTTTCAGAACAACTCAGAGTATGTTGATGAGCTGTGTTTCCACAATCGTCGGAGAAATAGTAGAACACAAGAAGATGAGAGAGAGAAAGGAAGAGCAGTGAAGGAAGGACCTCTATCCTTCTCGCTTAATCGACCTCTATTCAAGGGAATCGGAGAAGTTAATAGCTGTTTATGGAAGAGTTGCTGCAGCAGGGACTTATCTGCCTCTGCCAAAGAATGCGTGGCTACGGCGGCGAGCTCGCCTTAAAACTGAGTCAGCGCCGGCGCCGAAACCAGGGAGGAGTCTGCCGGATGGGCCTGCGAGTGGGGTACCTTTTCTTCTGCACCGGCGGCTTCATCTGAAGAAGAGAGTTTGCCCCCGAGGATTGGCTGTCCTCTCCATCAGGCACGGACAGCATCTTCTCTCTGAGCTGCGGGGGGGAGGACGGCGGGGCAGGCGCGGTCCTGGCGGAGCAACCTGATCAATGAGCTGGCCCTCTTGGAAGCTCGGGAGGAGCCCTCGGAGATAACCACACGCAGCACGGGGACGAGGGATGGGACCTTTTCCAGGAGGGTCACCACCTTCGCTCCGCCGGCTGTGCAGAGGTGTTGCAGGACGGAGAGGCAGTACTCCTTCCCCGTCGGATAGGAGTGGGAGATCAGGATCCTGACGAGGGAATGCACGGCGGAGGACTGTAGGATCTCGTATGCGCCCTCGGGTTGCTCGGCCAGAGCGGCTAGAACCGCCAGGCAGTCGCCGACGAGGTCCTCTCTGTCGGAGGAAAGGAGGTCGACGAGCTCAGAGATGGCCCCCGCCGCCAGCACTTTCGGGTGGTTGCCGGGGTAGTAGAGGAGCCTGATCAGGGCCACGGCGGCGTTCTTCTTCCCACGTACGGAGCCCTTCTTGAGGAGCCCCACCAGTGCCGGGATCACCTCTGATGTTTCCCCGATCGCTTTCCGGTACTCTTCCACCGAGGAGAGGTAGAAGATGGTGGCGGCGGCGTTCTGACGAGCTTCGGATCTGAGCCCCTTGGTGAGGGCGTAGAGGACGGGGCTCAAGCTCCTGTACTCGAAGACGGCCTTCCTCCCCATGGGATGCTTCGACAGATTCAGCACGGCCGTCGTCGCCCCATCCTGCAGGGAGGAATTGGGGGAGTAGTGGAGGTCGAGAAGCCATGGCGCCGCCCCTGCCTCCACGAGGCACCCTCTCTCGAATACGTTTGTCTTGGAGAGCAATCGAATCTCGAGGACGGCCTTAATCTTCTCATCTTCCGAGCCACTCGACAGCTTGTTGACCAGGAAACCGCAGAGCTGCTTGATGGCTCCCGCCGCTGCGGGGATCCCGGGGAGAAGATTCTTGCTGAATTGCCGCCGGCCGTCGTCGACGGAATCCCCAGTTCGCATCTTGTCTTCCTGGAAGAGCTGCCGGATGAGCTTCTGCAGGGTGGAATTGGGGACGAAGTCGGTGGTCTGCAGCGGCGCCCCGGTAACGGGACAGGTGCGGTTGCCGGCGGCGAGCCATTTGGTGATTGACGAACGGTCGTAGGTTTGCCCTGTGGAAACCGTGACGGGGTCTTTCATGAGCTCCAGAGTGATTGGGCACCTGAATTCTTCCAAATTCAGATGGTTCGGGATCCTCTCTTCGAATATGCAATCCAGGCTGTCGGCTCCCCTGCTGTCCTTGGCCTCGAAGACGACGCTGCGGGCGTAGAGCACGAATCCGCGCAGGCCGCTGAGGAGGGAGATCTCCACCAATCCGCCGTCGACGCTCAGGGCAGCGCCGAGTTCTTCCTCTAGGAACAGGATCTCTTTATCGCAATCCGTCCAGCTCCGGATCTGCAGGTGATTGAGGATCCGCTGCATCGAACCCCGATCGGGGGGGATTTCCTTCTCGAATTGCGCCAGTATCGAGCGGAGCCCCTTCGATACAAGGTCGTCGGCGGGGTCATTCGCGAAGTTGACTCTCCACGCCTGGTCCGCCACCAGTCGCACCGACTCCTTGACCTCCACCGGCACGTCAATTGCCGCCAGCGGAAGCACATCGAGGGCGGTGGCGACCGACCGGACCAGGACACGGAACTCGCTCGACACCGAGTCGGACTTGAGCAGCACCCATAGCCGGGCCCCTCTGCGGCCGCAGTCCCTCACCAGGTGCCGTATCTTCTGAAAGGCGACGTAGATCTCGGAGAGGCTCACGATGGCGGAGTCCGGTAGGTCGACGGCGGTGCCACCGTCCCTGTCGTAGACCTCCTCGAAGAACTCCAGCAAGACGCCGACTTCCCTCACCACCTCTCGCACGATCCTCCTCTGCGTGGGGAAGGACAGAACCCGATGACATCTCTTGATGCCCCTACCGAGCGCTACCAGCGCCTGCAGAAGCGCCCCCGGCGAGACGCCGTCGCACGGCGGCACCGCCGGCAAGGTCAGGAAACGCCGCTCTGAATTCGCAACCATCGGGGGAGAATTTGGGGGAGAAGCTTCTGGCAAAAGACGAACCCTTTCCCATTTCATCGAGGGGCCGATGTATATAGCCCCTCTCGTCGTGTCGTTTGTATCTTGAACTCTTGACACGTGTCGGGCATCGGCATCCCTGCGCGTGCCTACCGGCATCCCATTCAAAACGGACGACCGGACTGAAGAATCCGCGGGCCACCTCAGCTCGTATTAGTGACTCGGGAAGTCGGCACGTTCTGAGCGGGCCCGCCGGAGTGCGTATAGAGAGGTTGAGGATTACAGTAAGCGGCTGGGCCCCGCAGTAAGATGGCAGAAATGAGCGAATCACTAAATAATTAATTATTTCCTACATCATAAACGTGTCGAATACTAGAAGTAAGAAGACGATTTTTCTTATGTTGGGAACCCAGTGGATGGGGTCCACGGTTGGTCCCCTCGTTTTTGACTGGGTTCAGGTTGAGGATATCCACCATACATATCTTCAAGGAGGGTCCCACTCAGGTAATATGCCCAAGAAGTTCAACACGACTTCCTTTCAACGTGACTTTTACGTCATAATGAGGCGGCAAAGGGTGGGAACGGCTGAAAGCTCGGTCAAGTTTGAGCTGTTAAGGGAGATTCACACCCTGGATCGATTAGTTCGCCAATAAATCGTCGAAACCACTAGATGAGTCAACGTTACTGCATACGTAGAGCCTCTCAGTGGGCATAATAGTCATTATGACTAGAGAAATAATAATAACCCTAACTAATGCTGTTTCCTATTGATGTTGAATGAGAGTGACCCGAGTTAAAGCCTCTCATAGATCACTTTCTAGAACTATAGATTTTTTAATGGAGCATTCTTCTAAGAATGGACATACATAAATTAGAGATTTCCTCCTCCATAACATATAACATACTACTTTAGGGTTAAATAAGCATTCAATTTTAAATTTATAATTTAACTCTTAAAACATAATTATGAAATATTAGATGAGTCCATGACAAATATTCATATATTTTTTGATTGATTTTCATCACAAATCCTATGTTCTTAAAAACTGTAAATAATTGAAATAGAATAATTAAACAAAAGTATTTGAGATAAATTAGTCATTTTATATAGAAATAAAAAATATATACTAAAATAACAACCAAATAAAAATAGAAACTAGGATTTAAGAGAGAGAAGAGAGAGTAGAGAAGGCAGTAGGAGAGAGAAGAGAGGGCGATAGGGGAGAGAGAGAGGGAAGAGAGGATAGAGAGGAGAACGGGGGAGAAGACTAACGTGTTGGAGAAAGAGGAGAGTCACATTGAAAAAGGGAGGGAAGAGTTGACCAGCCGAAGGCGTTTGGCTGGTCAATGGTGAAAGGGTTCCCGATTGTAGAATAGAAACCTCTGTGGTCGAAAGAGGTCGTTGGTGAAGGAAAGACTGACAAACAAAAACACAAAAAAATGATTAAAATGGAAAGATAAGAAAGAAAAAAAGGCAACGGAGAAGAGGGAAAATACTAGAAAAAGAGAAAAAAATATTGAAAGAGAGAGAAACTTGTAATAGGAATAGTTTCCATTGGCAAGTGAGAAATCACCGATGAAAATAAATGTGAATTGACTAAAAATCAAAAGGGAAGAACTGATCTAGTGGAAATTTGACGAAATAAATGAATTGATTAAGTTGGTGTAACTTGTGTTGTAGAGAGTTGAAATCTCCTCCTTAAATCTAAAACATACTTGAGTCCACATAATAATGAAATCTTGACCCTTGAGTTCACAAGGATCAAAATAATTCTCTTGAATCCACAAAGGATGCTATAATTTACCAATAGAGAAATAGAATCTCAAAAGACCGAAACTTTGTGGGTTTGATAAAAATAAACTTGAATGCCTTTGTGGCTACAAATGGGGCATTTTAATAGACTGAAATCTAATTAAAACCTAAATAGAAAGGAGGGGATTATGTTAGAGCACCCCTAAGGAATAGGAGCATCATTAACATAATAGGGGATTATTTTACATAAATAAATTGTGAGAAATAGTAAATACGAAAATTAAGATTTTGACATATTTAACGTGTCTAAAGTATCCTACTAAGTCATCTGAAATAGAATTTGGGCCAAATTCTATCCTCATACATCATAGGCCTTCTATTCTATTTGAACATGAAATTAATATCTTTTCAGCTCTGCATATCCTATTAATTTTCTCCACCTCAGTCAAATACATTTTGTCCTTCTTTGGTTAGGTTTTCTTGGGTTACATTAAGAATTAGAAAAGAAAATGGATGAGAGAGAAAGAGGAAAAATGCTTCAGAATGAAGACAATTTGCTAGAAAAAGGAAGAACTAATGCAAATAAGAGGTTTCTCACTAATGCAAAGGAAGGTTAAAAAATGAAAAAATAATGTTGAATGAGAAAAAAAATTAAATAATGGGAAAGAAGAGGGAAGAAGAGAAAAAAATTCGAAAAAGAGAAAACTTGCTAGTGAGAGAGAACATCAGAGAGAGAGAAAATGAAAGTTGAAGATGAAATGGAGGACTGGAAATTGTAAAAACAAATATATAAAATGTTTGAAATGTGAACAAATAGATAAGAACAAAGAGGATGTGGGAAGAAGGGAAGAACATGCCAAAAATTTTGAAAAACAGAAAACTCCCCCTATCTATCACCTACGAAGAGATCACAAAAGGGAGAGCTATAAAGTAATGAAAACTAAGTAAAATTCAAAACTAAAGATCTAACTATTGAGGAAGAAGTAGAGAATGATTTACTACCTTTTACACATTAAAAGATTGAGAGAGAAGAGAGGAATGCTAAGAGAAATATAGCTCATGAAAGTAAAGTGAGAAGAGTAAGAAGAAGAAATGGGGGAGAGATGTGCATAAAATATATTTTAAAAAATTGGCAGCTATGAAGGGGGATGTGATGACTAAAGGTAAAATCTTAAAAAATGGCACCCTTTTTATTCTAAATATAACATATAGATTGTTAAATCTAAAAAACATTAGAAATTAAAATTTGATTACTAAAATTTAAAAATAAATTTATATCAATATCAAAAGTCTAATTTGCATACTATTTCTTCATAAAATTAAGATAAAAATGCACACTTTTATCTTATTTTTACTTTTAAATATTATATAAATGACATGACTTAGTTGTTTAATAAATCACATGAATTTAAAATTTAAAAAACTAAAAAATACTATTTTTTATATTTTTAAAAATATCCTAGAACAAATAAATCAATTATAATTTGATTAAAGGTTCTAAAATAGTGATAATTTCTAAGTCGATCATAGGGATGTAAAATAATATCAACTAATATTTCAAATTTTTTTAAAATCATATAATTTTTATAATTTTTAAAATAAATATTAAAAAAATAAAAAGAAAAGAAAATAAGGGTGTGCATGTCAAGATGACATCAACACCTGACAAATGCAAATCAAGTGAAAATAGAGTTCTATCTAGTGATTCTTACGTAAGTGATTACATATAATTTAATGGGTCAAATTAAATTCTATAAAAGTCAAAAGAATTGTAATTTTATGAAGAATAGTTTTAAAACTTGAAATCACATAAGATATCACCAAATTAAGTGAAAATTAAGTTTAGAGCAAGAAAAGTAGAGTTCTGACTTCATAACAATGATTACTAAAATTTTATATGATCGAGAAGATTATCATATAATGTCTACAGCCTCAAAGGCTCTTTTTGGACATAGACAATGTAGACAATTTATAGATCTTATTGCAAAGTCTATAAATTAATAAAGTGGGTCATCGAATCATCTCTGACAGTTATCACCTAGCAGAGCAAAAAAATAACTTTATGGCTCTCTGTGGTTATTACCTGATGAAGATGAGTTAGATGGAGGTGAGGCACATCTTAGGAAGCTTTACCCTCAAATCTATATAACAAGAAGATGCTCTTCATTACATCTGGTATATTCTTAGGAGGTGCTGACTCATCTCCTAATAAATTATCATCTTCCCGACAACAACTTGTTCATCTATCAATTAGAGATGATTTACTTGATGAATTTGTGATCCTTTTCTTTTAGAGTCATTCAACAATTATTATTACGATACTTCGCGAATCACATTGACAAGACTTTTGTTGATGATTGAGCAATTCTGACAACTTAATCATTCACGAGAAATACGTAGAAAAATTATAATTTAATCAAATAAAAATATGAGTTTTGGCTCTAGTAAGATTCAAATCTCGTTAGTCACTTGCTTATATGAGAGAAGGTAAAATACATATGCAAATATCATTATAAAATAATATCATAAAGGTATCTCTTTCTGATAAAGAAGAAATATTTTAAATATTAAAATTATTAAAATCTTACAACATGTTGTGATCGTCAATTTAGTCTCACATCACTTATATGTTGAGTTTTGAGGTGGATATATAGTATTATGAAATTTAGCAATTAATGTGACCCTTTCTCATGTGTGTACAATTATTCTTTGCCCTATGCTTAACTATCCACTAGTGACATAGAAGGAGAGTGATGCACACATTTCTTTTACTAGTCCATCCTTAGTCACCTGAGCCCCTACTCACTACTTCACTCAACTATGCTTTTGACCATTTTGTAGGCCTGATTGACCAACTAGTGACGTGACTTAGCTGTTATATAATAAATCACATAAATTTAAAATTGAAAAAACTAAAAATTATGAAAGTTTAGAATTTTAGAAATATTTAAGAATAAATAAATCAATTATAATTTGATAAAAGGTTCCAAAGATAATAGAGAATTTTCAAATTGATCACAAGGATGTAAGATAATAATAGATATTATTTCAAAAAAATAAAAAATATATTTTTTTAAATAATTTTTATATTAAATAATGAATATAAAATATATTGAAAAACTTATGAAAAAGAAAAATAAAGGTGTGGATGTCATGATGACATCACCACTCGGCGAATGCGAATAAGATAGAAATAAAATTCTACTTGACGGTTTTTACGTAAGTGATTACGAATGATTTAATAAGTCAA